TTTATTCATCAGTCAACATATATAGAAAAAATACTACAAAGATTTTACATGGATAAGGCTCATCCATTGACTAGCCCAATGATAGTTCGTTCACTCGATGTTCAAAAGGACCCTTTTCGACCTCGAGAAGATAACGAAGAACTTCTTGGTCCCGAAGTACTATACCTTAGTGCAATTGGTGCATTAATGTATCTTGCTAATAATACCCGACTCGATATAGCATTTTCCGTAAATTTATTAGCAAGATATAGTTCTGCTCCAACGCGAAGACATTGGAATGGAATTAAACATATATTACGTTATCTCCGAAGAACAAGTGATATAGGCTTATATTACTCTAACAAATCAAAGAATAGATTAATTGGTTATGCGGATGCGAGTTATTTATTTAATCCACACAAAGCTCGATCTCAAACTCGATTATGTATTTACATATGGAGATACAACTATATCATAGCGTTCTATGAAGCAAACTATAACTGCCATATACTAGCAATTCATGAGGCAAGTCGAGAATGTATTTGGTTAAGATCAATGACCCATCATATTCAAAAGACATGTGGTTTATCCACTAACAAGGAAGTTCCAATGAGTCTTGTATGAAGACAATACTCGCCTACATAGCTCAATTAAAGGAAGGATACATCAAAGGTGACGAACGAAACATATATCACCAAAATTATTTTTCACACATGATCTTCAACGAAATGGTGATATTAGTGTTCAATAAATTCGTTCAAGTGACAATTAGCAAATTTGTTCACTAAGGCATTACCTACCACAAGTTTTGAGAAGATGATTTACAAGATTGGAATGCGTCGTCTTATAGATCTTAAATAACGTCTTCAACAGGGGAGACCAAAATAGGTATTAATGTGTGCAAGGAATAATGTACTCTTTTTCCTTCACTAGGATTTTTTTCCCACCGGGTTTTTTCCTAGTAAGGTTTTAACGAGACATATTTCTTGTACAATGGACATTCAAAGGGAGTGTTATAAAATAATGAATGTCCATTTACTTTTCATATCCTCACTACTCATGATCCTTAATGTGATTCAATTCACCATTCAATTTGAGAAATTGAAAGGGTGATGCAATTGATGTACTTTTAATTATTCATAGTCCATTCCAATTCTCATCTCAATTTTGAGGTCTATAAATAGGCTTGATTGTTCATTTGTTGATGTACAAGTTTTTAGAGAGATTAAGAGAACAACTTAAAGTTTTCTCACTTGTATTCACTTTATAGTGAATTCTTCTTGTTGCCATCATTACTTTAAATTCTCATATATCTTTTATTTTTCACAACAAAACCGAAATTTTTTTATCGAATTATTATTTGGTTTGGTTCGGTTGTAATTTTTTTGTGTTTGGTTAACAAAAAACCGAACCGAAAACCGTTTGCTTACTCCTAATGCAGGTGAGCTATAAGGTTAGAGTTTGCACAAACTCCCAAAATGTTTTAAGATACTTGAGTAGAGATTTCATCATCTTTTTGGATAAAAAGAATTTTTCCAGAGAATGAGAAAAGAAAAACCGAGATCAAGAAATACAAGTAATGTATCCAGTTAACACTTGTGCAAAATTATTAACAAAGCAAGAATCAACACAATTGGGGCAAAAGGAAGTGGAAAAAGTAAGAAAGAATCCCTCATAAGAAAAACTAGGGGTGAGCAAATGGTTTTCGGTTATGTTTTTAACTATTTTGGTTCGGTTTTGGTTAACCAAACACAAGAAAATTACAACCGAACCAAACTAAATAATAATTTAGTAAAAAAATTTCGATTTTAAATTATTTCGGTTTTTATTTTCGATTTTTTGGTGTTAACCGAAATTATTAACATTGAAAGTTCAAGTTCACCATCCCACAACCTATAATATTTATAAATATTTTTGAACTCATACATGAGTTCTTTTTCGATATGGGACGATTTTAAGCCTATTAGCTTTTGTTAGTAAGATGGGTTATTTATAGACCTTTCCAAGTCTCAAAAGTATGTGTTTTTCGATGTGGGATAGTGAACTCACCCTTTGAGATTACCTCTATTCCACATCGCTTAGTTTAGCCTTTAAAGGGTGGGGGATAGGTTATAAATTAAGCTTGACTTCGGTGACTTGTTCTTTTATACTTGTAGTCGTGGGTTGTGATTTGTGTGGGCTTTATCCTTTAAAGTTCAAGTGAAAACCCAAAAGCTCAATTTTAGTTAAATTTTATATTAAGTTTATTTTAAATAGGTGAGGTGTTCGGTTTTCGATAGAAACCGGTTTAAATTTTTAAAAACCGAAACCGAAAAATGATCAAATTTCGGTTCGGTTTTTTTTTTAATAAATTGAAATGAAAAACCGAACCAAATTAGGTATTTCGGTTATTGTATTCGGTTTTCGGTTAACCGAACCATTTGTTCACCCCTAAGAAAAACAACCGACTCGATGCAAAGAACCTCAGCTTAACAAAATCAAAAATCAAATGACTAAGCATGTCTAAAAAAACTTGATTACGAACAATACCTGTGAACCAACATTCGCAAGAAGAGATTGCAGTGCTTCCTCCCCAAATCCTAGTGAACCTCTGTGATCAAAGAGGTTGTTAAAAATCTAAGAATGAACAAAAAGGACAGCCATGTGTTGGCACTATAAGCCATTTTTAACAGTAAACTTCTTAAGCATGAAAAGATGAAAATCAGCAAGGGCCCAATTGAATTTTATGGTGTTTTCAATGTTATGTGAACTTCAAAAGGTATTCAACAAGTTGCTTCGAACCAAAAAAATGCAATAGAAACACTTTCGGAGAAGGGAAAGATTTCCAGCGTAGAAGATAAGGAAGCTTGGATCATCTTGAGCATATGACAAAAGCTGAGAAAAAACGCAAACTGTTTCTTCTTGAAGGATAAAGGCTAAGAAAAAATGCCAAAAGACATTTGTCCCCAACCGTCCCTTGATTCTCAACTGGGTGGGACCTCAAAGAAGAAAATTCCCAATTGGATCCCCATTCATCATACATTACCCAATTACCCCGCCATTAAATTTTATGACAAAAAACAGCATCATTTTAAGACATATAGGTCCTCATTTTTTTAAAAATGCTAAGACGAGGGTTAACGCTTAACTGGGTAAGTTCCAATGGATAAAGACTGAATTGAGAATGTTTTCATTTGGGACTCAATTGAGAATTTGGTGATAGTTGGGGATAAATATGCCATTTGGCCAGAAAGTGAAATAAACACAAGGAAATCTTTGTGAAAGGAAATCTTTGTGAAACAAAACATTTATAACGAAACTTTGCTTCATTGGCTTCTTTCTTCTTCCCTCATTATGACTTGAATTAACAACATTTATTTTTCATACAAAATTGTCCAGAAAATCCTTCTACACTTAATGGAAGTCCCAATAGCCTGAAAAGTAGACACAAAAAGCTCTTCTTGTAGAGAGAGTATGTCAATATATGTGATGCAGAAGCAAATCCTAACATAGTACAGCTGCAGCTTTCAATATATGCGAAGGCTGGTCATTTGGATTGTACGGCCAACAAAAAACTAAGTCTTCTTATAAGGTTATCAAAATATATATATATATATATATATAAACATTGTTTACTAAGGGAAGTAGCAGCCCTTAAATATTAATCAAAACCCTAAATAAAAAATATCCTAACCCTTAAAAATAATTAAATCATCTTAACCATCTAAACTATCAGTACACAACTAGTCATATGTCCTGGCCACAATGCAGGGGTGGAGTTGAGTTAATTGCTTCGCTCAATTATTTGTGAATAAGTAAGTTTTTAGTAATTTGACTTCGTCAATATTTGGTATTAGGATCTCGTCCCTAAAGTGTGCTAATTGCTATAATTTTATTTATTTTTATTGTTCTCATTGTATTATCCATGCAATAATAGTATTCAATCTCATGCCTGTGGAAAATGCTAGCTTAAATTTTATCCAATTTAAGATCCAAATCCAAATTTGCCTGAAAACTTATTCACAATTAAAATTATTCTTTATTATTTTGAATTTATTAACTTCAAGGGTCCAGATGGTGAAAGAGGTTTTCTTCCTACCTTGATTTTTTTAAGTTTAAATTTTACAGCTAAAACCTATAAGAAATTATTCTCTTAAATACATCATGCTAATGTGAAAACGCAATTTTACGATCTTGAAAGAAAAAGACTTATTCTTAGTTCAAGTAAAAGCTGAATCAAGGATATTCCAGGCCGATGAACAAAAAAATATCATTACACCTACCCTTTCAAATATTTACCATTTAACCTAATTAAACATTTTTAAAGTTATTTATTGATTGGAATTTAAGAAAAAGCACATCTACAACTAAAATGAAAGGGTAAAAAAAAAATGCAATATACATCTTAAATTAAAGCTCATGATCTTAACTCAAAATTGGTTTAAGAAAAATAATAAAAAAACAAATGTTGTTCAAGAAATTTCGATTAAAAAGTCTCTTATTCTCTTTCTTCAACTTAGTACTAACATAAATTTGTTAATTGTAACATGTGTATGTGGCAAGAGAGACCTTTGCAGGTCATATTTTTTCATAGATTGCAAAATATTGTTGACCGATATTTGAAACCACTGCACATATAAGCACGTCTAGGTGTTTTCACCAAGAAAATCCTTGAAAATTGCTTCAGTTTTACAAATGTCTTTAGATTTAGAATAGATTAGGATTTGCTCCTGCATCAATATGCATTCCATTTAAATCCAAAGTATCTCACTTCTACTCGCCTTCCTTCATTAAGGAGTTACAAAGTGCCATCAAGCAACACCATGTGAAAAGTATGGAACCTCGGCATGACAGATGCCTTTTTTTTCTTTTAATTAAATTTTGAGGCGGATGTATGAAAGAGATGTTGATATTAAGATTCTATTTCCATGGGTAAGATATTCTCTGGTGGAGCATAGAGAAATGTGATTTATTTTGAATTCCTGATTAAACTTAAAAAGCAAATGGAAAGGGAAAAGCTTTAACTGACCTGTAATTTACAATCAACAAGCTGTAACAGTGTAACCTATTGAAGACAGAAATGCAAGGGACTTCAAAAAGCTTGACAATGAAACAGAACGTGGGCCACCATGAAGCACTACTATTAGTGGATCACCAGCATCATTCTTCTTAGAACTGCGAGACACGAAAATAGCTTCAAAAGGTTTGCTAGCACCTGAAAAGAATCGAATGTACAAAGGATGCCAAATCAATTAAGCAACGAGTAGGCACTATGATCATGATTTAACACATTCGTGAACCAGGAAATACTTCATAATAGGACCATACACAACATTCACAGATGATTAAAGTTTATGATTAAGGTCCATTGTATCCATATACTTCATAACTTACATTTTCTTGCAAAAAAGTTCTGATAATTCGACTCCACACGATGATGCCGGAAACTCAATGGACTAAAATAAACAAAAGGGTACTCCATTGTCTAACTAGCTTTTCTCATCAAACGAATTCCCACGAATGCCCACCACAGGCCGAAGTAAATCAATAAATAAGCATACAGGGAAAAATACTACACACATTTAACTAGGACAGCAACCATAGAGACACTTACTGCAGTCTAGCTTAAGCTGTATAAATTACACCTGTTGTTATGATGCATCTGCAATGTGATCCTAGTCTCAAGTCAATGTATACAATATGGGATGGTTGGTTCTGATACCAAATGATATTGGATATAATACCTTTTGTCAGGCAATCAGAAACATCCTTGACTGGAATATTTAATATAGAGAACTGATGAGAAGAAACCAAAGATTTAACCTGTACCAAGAAACTAAGTCATTACAAAACTAGAATTTAAAGGATAAATGTACAAAATTCATGCCCTATGAAAGCCAATAAAAGAAACCTTCTCAGAGCATCTGAATATTGGGCTTGATGCAACTGACCAAACCCCATCCAGAAATGTTAGTTGCTTTCTCAACAAGATATCCATATTTGATTTGAGGTACATCTACTGGACTGCTAGACACTGGAATGAGGGGAAAAAAGAAACTAAAAAATTTTATTTCCATTCCCTTCAGTTTAACATGGTAGGTCATATAGGTAACAGTCACCATTTGGTTTTACCAGCAATAATGCTGTACCCATCCAGAGTAAGAAGATCCCACGAAAAATTGGAGTCTGCAGGACTAATGCGTGATACATCCCCTCTGTAATTTGATAATTATATCATCTATATGAATAGATATTTAAGGCATTTACACATAAGAAAAGGCATGTGACTTTTAAAGTTACCTCAACACATTCACAGAAAGTATAACTTGACTGCTGCCCCATATTGAAGATGAGATCATAGTGCATCCATCAGAAAGCCATGGATTATGAATAAAGCCTGGACAGTAAAGCCCTGGGAAGGAACCATTGTCTGCACACTGCACAACAGGAATCTGCAGTGATTTTAAAGAAGAAAATTGTTAGCTACAAATTATACACATGAAAGAAAATTTTCCAAATCTGTAGTGCTGCTTGAACAAATGCATCACTTTTAAGGAAATTTAGATAGAGGCCATCACCTGGGATAGCCACAGGGCAGGGACTGGAGGCTGTCCTGCCTAAGTTTCCAACAATCATATACTGCAGCTTCCTTTTATTTGAATTCTAAAAGGTGAGACTTCACAAGAAGATTGAGTGGGTGCCACAATAAGGAAAGCATGACTATTTTATAAGCAGCATCGTAGTGCCAAGTCCCCTCCACCCCCAGCACAAAACATATATAATATTATACATCTTTTCTTTTTTTCTTTTTTTCTTTTTCTTTTTGCATATTATAAATCATTACTATAGAGGTTATAAGGATTCCCATTCTAGCAATGAAAGAGCTTAAATATAAAGGTTAATAAACAAAGCAAATTCCATAACTTCTTGCAAATGAAACGAAGTGATAGCCCACAAAATCCACAATTTTAACTATGCCAACAGAATTCACAAAATTAAAATTAAATGGATAAATATGAAGTGCTCACCACATCAATAATTTTGGCTGAGGACAATTGTCCATTCACTGGCCAATCGATTCTGTGAAGTGAATCTGTTGCACAATGTGCACCCGAATCTACAGAACTTTTTGAAGATAAAAACACAAAGAACTTTCCATTGGGGCTGGATAACACAGACATCATTCACATGCAATCAGCTCTAAATACATCATCACTATTGTGTAAAGGATTGATTTTCACGTAAACTTCTTTTCAATTTTTCCAGTTAACTCAGGAGTTAATTCATTACAAGGGGATAAAGAAAACATTCATAAATAGCTGTTTCCAAGGGAAGATGACACGAATTGTAAATAACTTTTAAGATTATAACCATCTACTAAATAACAAGGCATAGTGCATGAGAACAAGCATGAAATCATTCGCATGCTTATACAAAGAAGCAATGATGCAAACTTGACGCATGTGCGACGCATAAAAGAAAAATTGGCAAACAATTTGCAAATTCTAATATCAACACTTAGCCACAAGGGAATCCATTAACTTAGAATAGCAACAGGGAAAGTGGTTTTGAAAAATAAGAAACAAGCTTGTATGCCAATGCAAAACCAGTATAAGTCAATGGAGTGGAGAGGATCTAGAGGCAGAATAGTAACAAAAAATTACCGGTCAGCTATATCTTGTTCTATTTTTTTACACAAAAAACAGAAAAGTGTAATGCCAAATTTGAGAGTGAAAAGGAGACGTGCAGTCTCAGCAAATTAGCCATCAGACCTGTCTTGGGCCAGGCCTTCAGGAAAAAATCACTTCTCCTAAAAATAACATCTTAGTTAGCTATGATTCTCTTGAAAATCTCTCCAAAACCTAAGAAAGCATTCTGCATAGACTATCACGCACTGAAATGGGAGAAGAAATAGGGTTTGTCGGTCCCAATGAAGGCTCAAAACCAAGGTTATTGTATTAATAACATACCTGAATGATGGAAAGAAAGCACTACTTATGCCCTTAGTTAGGTTAACAGCAGATGAATCTTCAATTGGACTCTCTCTGGAAGATCAAAGAGAAATTCAAATTACACAAACCAGATTTAGCATAATCAATCTCCAACGTGAACTAATTAACAAGTTCGAAAGACAGAAGAAATAATGAGAGCTTTATGAGAACAAGTAACCCACTTGAGCTCTGATTCATTGGCTTCTGACACATAAATTGGCACTCTAACTGCATATAATGCGCATGGCCTGTTATAGCAGTATTTTATGCCAAGCTTTCTTGGACTTGATGACCAACCACGAAAACCAAATACTGATATATGCCTTCAGTTGATGGAGCCCAGACAACTTGGCCAATGCTCAAGGACTTCAAAATTCCTTTGACAGGCTGTACCTGTCCGCTGCACAACATGGGAAAGTTCAAACTAAGGATTTGATGTCCAACAAAAACCATGTTTACCTGTAACAATGAAAACAAAAAACTCTTACAAGACCTGTTAATGTCAATGACAAAAAGTGCAGGCTGCCTTTTCCCAGCATAGGTTTCTCCCCAATCCTCCTCCCATTCCCCTTGACCTTTCCAGCTACCACAGTCCTTATCTGCAGAACCACATTTTTTATAGCCCGAATCATTAAATGTAGGCTTGGAGGGGAGGCTTTCTCAGCAACATAAGCAATAAGAGTTTCATTAGAGTTCCATGAGATTCCCTCGAACCTATACCATCAAGAACACATTCAACATTTCTGGAACCTTGAAGACAGTAGTAATCAATAATCCTTAAAATTGAACAATTTCTACAACTAATGCCTGTGTAAGAATAAAAGTATGCAAGCCTAAAAGTAAACATCAAATGATGTTGTCAGCAGTGAAAAGGCTAGATTGATATGGTCACTCACCATCCATCAGTATATACTTAACCGTGTACAGATTGGGGGGATGTTGAATTCCTTTTCCACCTGACCTTGATTCCAGATTTCAAAACGGGTGGGAGATTCATTTTCAGGATTCCGAACAACAAAAAGCTTCAAGCCTGATGGCGATGGAACAGCTGTAGACACACCAGTCATCTCCCATTGAAAGTTGACAGAATTGCTACTCTCTTTGGAGATATTAGCAGAAAGAATATATTTCGTCCTCTTATTAGCCAAAAGATTTGCTTGGCTAATCGAAAACATTGCCTGGGAACCAATTCCTGCCCCAAATATTTAATGTCCCAAACATTGTTTTAAGAAACAACAAACAGAAAACGAAAAAGTAAAAGTCATATTAGAAACAAGTCATACCGCTATTAGACTTAAAAGTCCATGCCTTGTCGATGTTGGGCATACTAGTGAACTCTTGAAGCAGCTTCGACAGAGAAGCATAGTCTTCCTCAGTTTTTGCATCTAACCCCAACGGAAGTTCCTTTGGTGGGGCAGATTTAGATGCATCCATTAATGCTGGAATGGGAAGAAATCGATTACTACGCATTGAAGGGAAAACAAAAATCAACAGAGGAGAAAATAACCCAAGGTGAACAACTACATGCAAATATAGCATCAAGAATGACGCATATTTTGTCAATCAAGGCTCAAACTCATCCATTATCAAAGAACATAAAACATTAATTTAGCCGTATATTAATCAAACAAGACAAGAAAATTTGAGGAGAAAAATTACAAGCAACGAAGAACCTCAACTTTTTAACAGCAAAAGAAAAATGGAGTTTCAACGTTAGTGAAATTAATTGAAGAGCAAAAACATACAGGTATATAGAGACTAGAAAGAGGGGGGAGCTAGCTTACATAGAGAGTGAAAGTCAAAGGGAAGCAGGAAGTAAGGAGCGACTGAGAGTGGGAGAGGTAGGAGATATTGATAAAAGAAGCGAGTAAGAAGGAGGGAGTGGAGGGAACAAAAGAAACAATTATGCTTTGCCAAGTATGCTCTTCTCGTAGTGAGATTCCAATTTTTGTTTTGTTTGACCAAATTCTAAGGGGAGTAAATTAGTCCTTCTAGTTTTGTAACACGAATTAATAGTCCCTCAAATTTCAAAAACTAATGAATTACCCTCTTTTATCCATTTCATTTCATGTTTTTAATAAAAACATTTTTTTGAAATAAAATAATATTAAATTAAATATAGTCCATATTAATTAAGAGAGTAATTAATTAGTTTTAAAAAAATATTTAATTTATTTTGACAAAAAAAATAGAAGGATTAATTTATGACTTACTCAATAAAGATGCTTTTGCACTAAAATAGATAAAAATAAATAAAATCGACAATATAAAGACTTGAGATTTTTTGGTATGCTATGGGAGCTCAAAGCAACACTAGTCTGCTGCAACTCAGCACTTGCTTTACTGGTTCCTTCATGCTTTATATGGACTTACCAATGTCCAGTTTTTGAAAAAAATTTCCGCTTTTCGACACTCCTCAGCTTTTCTTGTACATTTGCACAACAATTCCTATAGTCACCTCATCCGGTAGCAGCTCATTCATATTCTCAAGCCAGTGAAATGCCTCTTCTTTAAGGCCGGCTTTGCTATAAACATCAATCAAAGTACCATACTTAGAATTGACCGCCGAAATGCGTTTAATTCTCATTTCATTACACAAACATTCATCAGCATGGCTCCATTTTCGTCGCTCGTCCAAGAATCCTAAGCATGATGCTATAGTAATGAATCACATTCAACTCATTACCACACTCTCTGTTAAACCACTCAAAAATCTCCAAAGCTCTTTCCCGACTAGACTGCTCCTTCAAAGTTATGCTCCTCTCTTTGTTACCAAGAGCATCATCCAAGTTTGTCTTTAATTTGTACCAAGAGCTTCCAAAATTCATGGAATACAACCTCCATAATATGTCCATTTTTGTCGAACACTTGGTGTGCACTTTATCAACCAGGCCATGCCCAACTAAACTTACGAAAAAATACCAATTAACAATATGGTGGTGGTGGGATTCAACTTCATTCAGTGGTGTTTTGGGGTTTTATCTTACAAAGGAATGACATGGTAAATCGTTCTCGGAATCTCCCAGGCAAGGAATGGGTAAGATGTTGAAATTATCGTCGGGTATATGGTGATGGTGCTTGATGCTTTTACGAAGGACCCATTTCTCTATCTGGAATATATTTGGATTTGGGTAGCCATCAAGCAGATACTGGTGTAATTTTCTTCTCTTTATTTATTTTTTTTCTTCTTCTTCTTTTTTATCTTTTTCTTTGAAAAATGATAGGCAGATCAGCTATTCCAAACCTTGGATAATATACCGTATGCGACAACATTCATGAACTTCTGGAAGGATCCCATCCCTCCACATGTAATCAGCGCATATTGGGAAAATAATATAGATTTGCTACTAATGCATGGCTATGGAAAGTTTTGAACCCAAGCATTGAGAATGGAGAATGAAACCTTTACCAATGAACCAAGCAGTTGTTGGCATCTGTGTACTTGATCGGCTGATAGTTCAGTTCATGGTTCCTTTCAACATTTTTAGCTTTGGATAACGACGACCACAAATCAAAAGTATCAGTACTGGCAGCATAGTCTGATTGCAGTTATATTTATTTTGTTTACATTGTTGCCGCCCTTCTAATTTCTTACATCCTTGGTCTTGTCAATAGTCATGCCTCCAAAACAAAAGATAATCTTATTAGTGCAACTCTAAATTTTAATCCAAACAAAGCATAGAGTATTGACTCAAATTGATTATCATTTCCAACTGTTCTAAAACAGGGTTATAAGTTATAACAACAGACTGCAACGCACCCATGATCAGGCCAACAAATATATAACTTAGATCCACATAAATAAATTGATCATGTAGCATGTAGGTTCCATCGAAATTCAAAATGGGATTGAAAGATTACTCATTTCCAAACGAATGGCTGATGCCACAGACATGATGATACCTTTACCTTGTGTTTTAAATGAGCATATTTATTGGCATATTGCTTGTGCACAGCAGTGCTTAAAGGGCTTGTAAACTTTCTAATACCGTACCAAGGATTTATCACAGAATAAGACAGCAAATCATTTATTGCTACGAAGAATGACTGTTTTGCAAGGTGGATTGAGCATGAAGACCCCCTTTGCCAGTTACCAGCACCAAGAAGAGCAAGTAGTTTACAAGTGGATTTCCTCCTCGATCCATGGGCTAAATAATTTTTGTATTTTTGACTTCGCACCCCCACCCCCATTAGCAACATGTGGCGTAGCTTATTTACAGTACTTGTTGAACCATACACCAATGTTAATGTAGCCTTCAAAGTCAGATTGGGGTCTGCAGAAAAGAATCGTGGATCAGGTTTTATGTGAATGTGAATTAGATTTGAGTTCGTAGTACTGTTTTCATTAGAATGTGCTGATGGAAGCAAACGTTTACCTGTCAATCCCATGAACATCATTGGGAAACATGAGGACTTTGACATCAACTCCTTTCTCTTTTAATGCCCGAGCATACTACAAATTTCAAACATCAAACCATTAGTGCCATCATATCATGCAAGTGATAACATCCAAAAAACTCCCACTGTTTGCTGTTTGTGCTCTTTTATCTTGTCTATCACTCCTCCGCAGCTGTTATCAAACCATACACTAGAATAAAATTTTAAACAGTCACAGAAGGTAATGAAGAGGGCATAGTAGCTTACTTGCAGGCCATTAGACAATGGAACACGAAGATCCTGAGCACCTAGAAGAAAAATGGTTGGTGTTTTGACCTGCAAATATCATCGAACTAAGAAATTCAATATCATAACTTAAAAATAAAAAATTAGCAAGAAAAAACATTTTGTGTCTCTCAGCCTTGGAACTCTTTGACTTGAGGGATTTGGTATTCAGCATAGCTAAAAGGCCAAAGGAAAGGCCAATCACCCTCTCTACCCAACCAATATGACTGATAGAAAGAGGGAAAAAGTTGCAAGTTTCAGGATTCTTGTTTGATCCGCCTGTGCCTTTGGCAAACACCAACACATAGCAGACGTCCTGGTATATAACCAAAGAAATCTTTTAACCACGAAGCTCAAGATTCTTCATTCTTGACATATTGTTTTCCTTGGCATTGTACAATTACCAAAAACAGAGCATGGCTGTTGTTTTACAGCATTCCATGCAACTTGCTAGTGTCAATGGATTCCATCCACAGGTAAAATTTCCAATCCAGTACAATTGTCCATGGCAAGTTGCATGGAAACACACTGATTTCTGAAACTAACTATAATAGCTGCTGCCACTGCTTTAAAATTGATAGCATCCATCATCAAGCAGTGTAAAAGTAACCACACTAGCAGGTGCCATTTTTTGCAGTCAGTGCTGCAGACCAGCCTCTTGATAGGGCTTTTTCGCAGAAAATTTCATTTGGTTTTAGACCATTCTATTCCTACTCTTAGTGCTTCTGTCAAGACCCAGAATAGCCACATATCACCCAATAGAAAACAGGTCTCTAGAAAGTACCTTTGAGATGTGTGATATGGGAGATTTGCTGTGAAACAGAGCCAGGTCCTCGGCTGAGGGCGCTTCTGTAAATTTAGTTTTCCCCTCAACTCCATAGGTTTCCACATAGCACCAATCAGGGATATCCGTTGTGCCAACCATTGATGCAAGGTTACAGACAGGATTCCTTGCAGCTGCAGCAACAAACTTGTCTGGTGCCTGCAGAAAGTTACAGGGATAGTTCACTATATAAGAGGTCCATGTAATAACAAATAATTCAATATCCAGTCTACAAAAGACATCTCTGACTGCAACAAGGACAGAGCTAGAAATGCTAAACCTGCCCAATTAAGTGAGTTGTGAGAAAGCCACCATGAGAACCGCCAATCACAGCTACTTTGGAGGGGTTTGCAAGTCCCATGTCAATCACATGATCTACTGCTGTAAGTACATCATTGACATCCTGTGCACAGTAAGCTATAAGGTTAGAGTAAGAACAAACTCCCCAAATGCTTGAGATACTTGAGTAGATATTTGTACGTTTTATGGGATAAAAAGGATTTTCCAGACAAGGAGAAAAAAAAAAAACAGAGATCAGGAAACAAAAGTAATGTGTCCTGATACTACTTGCGCAAGACTATTAACAATGAAAATTCAACACAATGGGGGAAAGGGAAGTGCAGAAAGTAAAGGAGAATGTAGTATAGGAACAAGAAAGTTTGCTTGTTTGTTTGTTTGTTTGTTTGTAATTTAGTATGTTTAGAATTTTATTGATTATTTTGATAACTTTATAGGATTTTGTTATAATTATAATTAAAAGGTAATATTTTATTAGGATTTTTTTTCCTTATTTTGTTTTGGTAACTTTCTTGTTCCTATACTGCAACAGAGAATCCCTTCATGGAAACAAAATGACTTAAAAAAAACCATCAAAACCAATGCATACCACATTGTTTTTAACAAAATCAAATCAAATGACTAAGCATGCCTAAAAAACTTCAGGCGAAAGGACAGATTTCCTCCCAAATTATTTTTTTTTTTTCTGAATAATCCCCCACCAATCAATTGCCCCAATTGAGTCCCCATCTATTGAGGGCTGATTCAATTAACCTCAATGTTATCTACAGTTAAAGGTTTGTTGATTTTTAACATGACTTGCGTGCCTTCAGTTTTAGCCAGGTCTTGGCACAAAATTTGTGCTCCCTAAGACATTTTGGCACTACATATTCATTAACAAAGATCTTTTGGCACAAAAAGTCACTCCACATGATGCATGTAGATACCCAAATATAAAAAGAGATTTTAGGCCATCGTGTGTGTTAAGAGGGTGAGGCACACATGGGTAAGATGTTTTAACTCTAAAATATTTTAGGGAGTCCCACTTTTGCCATAAAAATCTGGCTAAAATTGAAGGCAGCTGCGAGCTGTGTGCAAAACTAACACATCCAGAAGGGACTATTTGAGTAAAATCTAAATGGATGGGGGCCTCGATTGGGACCATCAATAGGCAGGGGCCTCAATTGGGATAGACACAACAGTTTGGGGGCAAAATTGTCATTTACTTTAATAAGAATGTGTACCTGTGAACCAACTTTCCCTGGAAGAGATTGCAAGGCTTCATCGCCAAATCCTAGTGAACCTCTGTGATCAAAGACATTGTTAGAAAATCTGGGAAGGAACAAAAAGGACTGTCATACGTTGGCACTATAAGCCCATTTTTTAGACCACACTGAACTTCTTGAGCATGCAAAGATGAAAATCAGCAAGGGCTCAGATGAATTTAATGGTGTTTGCAGTGATATGTGAATTTCAAACTGGTTTAGACCACTAAGATCTACAAAGATACCAATTCTCTGAGGAAAAACTGAATTTTTGGGATATAATCATATTCATTGTTCTTTTGAATGTCTAGGTAGGGTGCTTATCTACAAAAACTAAACAAATAAAATTAGAAAACCTACTAAATAGTCCTAATCCCATAAGGAAACTAAACTAAACTAAACCCCTAATAATCAAATAATAATTCCAGTTGTTGTCTTTCTTCATTCTCCATCACAGTGCCATGTAAAAATATCGAACCTCAGCTTCGAGAGATTTTCCTTCCCCAACCCCCCCCCCCCCCCACAAAGGAGGCAGAGAGATTATATTTCCATGGGTAAAACAGTCTCTGGTAGAGGATAGAAAAATGTGAATTACTCTGAAATTCTGATTAAACTCAAGAAGAAAAAGGGAAGACAAAAGCTTTAACTGACCTGTAATTTACAATCAACAAGCTGTAACCTAGTGAAGACAGAAACGCAAAGGACTTCATAAAGCTTGACAATAGGACAGAATGTGGGCCACCATGAAGCGCTACTATCAGTGGATCACAAGCATCACTCTCCTTGGAATAACGAGACACGAAAATAGCTTCAAAAGGTTTGCTAGCACCTAAAAATAATCAATGTACAATGTATGCAAAATCCATTAAGCACAGAATAGGTACTGTGATTATGATTCAATGCATTTCAAGAATTGAGAAAAACTTCACAATAGTACCAGAAAAAGCATTCAAAGATAATCACTGTGATTAAGATTCAATGCATTTATAAACGAGAAAAACTTCACAATAGTAGCGGAAACAACATTCAAAGATAATCACTGTGATTGTGATTCAATGCATTCATGAATTAAGAAAAACTTCACAATAGTACCAGAAACAACATTCAAAGATAATTGAAGTTCGTGAACAATACCATCATATCCATACTACATTGACTTAATTTTCTAACAAAAAAGCCCCTATCAAAATTCAACTCCACATGCTGATGCTAGAAACTCAATGAAAGGGTACTTCATATCTTACTATCTTGTCTTACCAAACGAATTCCAACAAAATTTCTGCAAAACCATACAAAAAATAATACGTCTCAACACCCACCCCCCCAACACACACACACACACTGCAGTCTAGCTTAAGCTGTAGAAATTAAACTGTTTTTATGATGCATCTGAAACGTGATACTAGACTTGTGTCATCATGAATTCTGATACAAAAATATATTTGATATAATACCTTTTGTTAGGCAATCAGAAACATCCTTGACTGGAATATTCAATATAGTGAACTGACGAGAAGAAAGCAAAGATTTAACCTGTACCAAGAAGAAACTGTCTTCACAAAACTAGAATTTAATGGATAATTGATACAAAATTCATGTTCTGTGAAAGCCAACAATACAAACCTTCTCAGAGCATCTGAATATTGGGCTTGAGACATCTGACCAACCCCATGCACCTTTTTTAGTTTCTTTCTCAACAAGATAACCATACTTGATTTGAGGCACATCTACTGGGCTGCTGGACACTGGAATAAGGAAAAAAACCAAAACTTATTTCCATTCTCTTCACTTTAACATGGTAGGTTATAGATAGCATTCAGGATTTGGCTTTACCAGCAATAATGCTGTCTCCATCCAGAGTAAGAAGATTCCATGCAAAATTGGAGTCTATGGGACTAATACGTGACACGTCACCACTGTAATTTGATGATCATATCATTAATCAACTATACAAACAGATCCTAAAGATATGTACACATATCAAAAGTTAAATGACTTCTAAAGTTACCTCAACACATTCACAGAAAGTATAACTTGACAGCTGCCCCATACTGAAGATATAATCATAGTGCATCCATCTGAAAGCCATGGATTACGAATAAAATTGGAACAGTAAAGCCCTGGGAAGCAACCATCCTCCGCGCACTGCACAACTGGAACCTGCAATGATTTATAGAAGAAAATTTTTAGTTACAAATTATACACATGAAAGAAAATCTTTCAAATCTGCCGCTAAATGCATCACTTTTAAGGGAATCAGATTGAGCAAACGGCCATGGATAGCCTCAGGAGAGGGGAATGGTGGTCGCACCTTTATTTGAAACTCTAAACGGTGAGATTTCACAAGACGCTTGTTAGTTACACCCCATAATAAGGAAAACATGGCTATTTTAAAAAGCATCATCGCAGTGCCAAGTCCCCTCCATCCCGCATTCCCAGCAGAAAATGTGTACGATATTATATTATAAATTGTTACTTTTAAGTTCAAAGAATCACATTCTAGTAAAGCAAGAGCTTGTAAAGGCTAATAAATAAGGGAAAGTTCAAAACTCTCGCAGACAAATGAAGCAATACCACACAAAACCAGAAATTCTGAATATGCCAATTGAATTCACCAGATTTAAATTACACAGATTACCATGAAGAGTTCACCACATCAACAACTTTTGCTGAGGACAATTGTCCTTTCACTGGAATGAAGCAAAGGCACAAAACCGGCAATTCTGAATATGCCAATTGAATTCACCAGATTCAAATTACATAGATTACCATGAAGAGCTCACCACATCAACAACTTTTTCTGAGGACAATTGTCCATTCACTGGCCAATCAATTTTGTGAAGCGAATCTGTTGCAGAATGAGCCCCCGAATCTACAGAACTGCTTGCAGATAAGAACACAAGGAACCTTCCATCTGGGCTGGATAACAAAGACATCATTCACATGCAATTAGCTCTAAATAGATCGTTGTACTGTGTAGAGGATTGATTTTCAAGTTACTCAACTTCTAATATTCAATCATTTCCGGTTGTTAATTCATTATAAAGACATAAAGAAAACATTGATACATAGCTGGACTTATTCATAAATAACTTTTAAGCATATAACCACCTGGAAAATAACAAGACATAGTGCATAAGCACATGCATGGAATCATTCACAAACTTCAACAGAGAAGAAATGGTGCAAAATTAAACTGGATGTGCATGTAACACCTAAAAGACAATTGGACAAAGAATTTGCCAACACATAGCCTCAGGAGGATCCATTAATTTTGAATAGCAAGAGGGAAAGTAGTTGTGAAAAAAGAAGAAACAAGTTTAGTATGCCAATGCATAACCCGTACAAGTCAATGGAGTGGAGAGGATCTAGAGGTCGGAAAATAACAAAAATTAATTGGTCAACCGTATCTTTTCTTTTCTTTTTTTTTACACAAAAAAGAAAAGGGATCGTGTCAAATTTGATAGTGGAAAGGAGACATGCAACCTCAGCAAAAAAAACCATCACGCCTATTTTGGGCTAGGCCTTCAGGAGAAATTCATATCCACTACAAAAAACATCTTAGTGAAGTTCATTGTCTTGTAAATATCTCCAAAACTTGAGAAATCACACTGCATAGGTTATCACACACTGAAATGGAGAAGAAATAAGGTTTCTACGTCCCAGTGAAGGCTCAAAACCAAGATTGTTGTAATAATAGCATACCTGAATGAAGGAAAGAAGGCACTACTTATGCTCTGAGTTAGGTTAAGAACAGGTGAATCCTCAACTGGACTCTGTCTGGAAAATAAAGAAAAAGGAATTCAAATTACATAAACTAGAATTAGCTTATTCAATCTCCAACAACAACTAATTAACAACTAAGAAAGACATAAGAAATAACAAGAGCTTTATGAGAACAAGTAACCCACTTGAGCTCTAATTCATTGACTTCTGATATATAAATTGGCACTCTAACTGCATATAATCCGGATGGCCTGTTATAGCAGTATTTTATGCCAAGCTTTCTTGGACTTGATGACCAACCCACGAAAACCAAATACTGATATATGCCTTCAGTTGATGGAGCCCAGACAACTTGACCAGTGCTCAAGGACTTCGAAATTCCTTTGACAGGCAGTACCTCTCCGCTGCACAACATGGGAAAGTTCAAACTAAGGATTTGATGTCCAACCAAAAACCACGTTTACCTGGATGAAAACAAAAACCTCTTAAAAGACCTGTTAATGTCGATGACAAAAAGTGCAGGCTGCCGTTTCCCAGCATAGGTTTCTCCCCAATCCTCCTCCCATTCCCCTTGACCTTTCCAGCTACCGCAGTCCTTATCTGTTGAACCACCTTTTATATAGCCCAAATCATTAAAAGTAGGCTTGGAGGGGAGGCTTCCTCAGCAACATAAGCAATAAGAGTTTCATTAGAGTTCCATGAGATTCCTTCGAACCTATACCATCAAGAACACATTCAACATTTCTGGAACCTTGAAGACAGTAGTAATCAATAATACTTAAAATTGAACAATTTCTACAACTAATGCCTGTATAAGAATGAAAGTATGCAAGCCTACAAGTAAACATCAAATGATATTGTCAGCAGTGAAAAGGCTAGATTGATATGGTCACTCACCATCCATCAGTATATACTGAACCGTGTACAGACTGAGGAATGTTGAATTCCTTTTCCACCTGACCTTGATTCCAGATTTCAAAACGGGTGGGAGATTCATTTTCAGGATTCCGAACAACAAAAAGCTTCAAACCTGATGGCGATGGAACAACTGTAGACACACCAGTCATCTCAACAGGAAATGGAGCCCATCGAAAGTTTACAGAATTGCTACTCTCTTCGGAGATATTAGCAGAAAGAATATATTGCCTCCTCTTATTAGCCAGAAGATTTGCTTGGCTAATCGAAAACATTGCCTGGGAACCAATTCCTGCACCAAATATTTAATGTCCCAAACATTGTTACAGGAAACAACAAACAGAAAACAAAAATGTAAAAAAGTCATACCGCTATTAGACTTAAAAGTCCATGCCTTGTCGATGTTGGGGATACTAGTGAACTCTTGAAGTAGCTTCGACAGAGAAGCATAGTCTTCCTCAGTTTTTGCATCTAAGCCCAACGGCAGTTCCTTTGGTGGGGCAGATTTAGATTCATCCATCGCTGGAATAGCAAAAAATCGTTTACTACAAAGTGAAAGGAAAACAGAATCAACAGTGAACTACTACATGCAAGTAGCATCAAGAATGAAACATGTTTTGTCATTCAGGGCTAAAACCCATCAAGCATCAAACAATATAAAATCCCAATTTAAACGTACATTAATAAAACATGAATAATAATAATAAGCAAAGAATCTCAACTTCTTAACGGCAAAAGAAAAATGGAGTTGTAAAGTCAACGAAATTAATTAAATAACAAAAACATATAGATAAATATGCAGAGACTAGAGAGAGAAGGGAAGCTTACGTAGAGAGTGAAAGGGAAGTAGGAAGTGAGGAGCGAGTGAGAATGGGCGAGGTAGGAGATAGTGATGAAGGAAGAGAGGGAGGACGAGTGAGTGGAGGGAGACACGAGAACCAATTATGCTTTACCAAGAACACTCTTCCCATATTGAGATTCTAATTTTGTTCTGTTTTATATATATATATATGTAATAGTTGAGGATATTAGAATTCATAGTGATGAGTAGGGTTCTTTTTCTTTCACTTCCCACTAATTTTACATAATTAGTACTTTTATATATTTACTTTCTGATGCATAGAGATCGATATTTTAACTCCAAACATTTAGTTCGGTTAATAAAAAAAAAAAAAAAAAAAAAGAGACGTTTAGTATAAAGTCTCATATATGAGTTTTTTTACTGATTTTTTTCAAAATTCAAATAAACATATTTAAAAAATAATTACTTTAAATAAATTAAATTAAAAACTCCTATAAATGTATGAAAAATTAATTAATGAGTTGTTGATAGTATTCTTTTATATTTCTAATTTATACAATCTCGATTCAATTTGAATTTTAGTTCTTTTCAAACTTATTTATTTGTGATTTTCTTTAATATCGATCAAGTTGCATCCGAAGTAAGTATTTTTATTATTTTTTTTAACTTTATCATACTTATTGTCTAATTTAATTAATTTTGATATTTACTATAAATTTTTATTGGGTTATTTGATTTTATTCCTTTTAATGGTGAGATATTTTGGTTTTTTTTAAAAAAAATGATATATTAATTAGAGAAGAATTGATGAACAAAAGCAACTTATTGAGATGTAGGAACCAAAACATGCAAGTTGGAGACCATTACATAAAGAAAAAGTGTGTAACAAGCATATTACAGCTTGCAAACCAAACTAGTGCTTGGTGCATCATGTTCCGTCCTTAAATAATACGAACAATCAATTTATTATGAGAAAGAGTTGGGAAAAAAAAAAGACTCGTTCAGTATAAAGTCTCATATTTGAGTTTTTTTACTGAATTTTTTTTTTTTGAAAATTCATCTAAACATATTTAAAAAATAATTACTTTAAATAAAATAAATTAATTTAATTTTTTGAAAACTCCTATAAATGTATGAAAAAAGTAATTAATGAGTTGTTGATGGCATTCTTTTATATTTCTAATTTATAAAGCCTTGATCCAATTTGAATTTTCGTCCTTTTCAAACTTGTTATTTGTGATTTTCTTTCATTCCAATCAAGTTGCATTTAGTGTAAGTTTTTTTTTTTTTAACTTTGTCATACTTGTTGCCTAATTTAATTAATTTTAATATTTAATATAATTTTTTATTGGATTATTTGATTTTGTTCTTTTTAATAGTTAGATATTTTGTTTTTTTATGCAAGAGTTGATATTCATTTTACATTCAAACATGATTTTAAATGTAACCAATGTTTTTTTAAAAAAGTAAATGATAAATTTGATAAATATCTTAATACAATCCGAATCAGTTATAATACATGTTTATATTGACAATTACAAAATTTAAACTTAAATATAAATAAATCGAATTTAGATCAACTTTATGTTCTTTGCTAAATAATTTGATCTTTGAAAGAAAAAGAATATCATATAACCCAACATATACATATATATATGTGTGTGTGTGTGTGTGTGTGTGTGTGTGTGTGTGTGTGTGTGTGTGTTTCTACTCTTTACCAGACGAAGTATTATGGCAGCTGCAAAGCTTGATTAGAGGTTTCCACATACTCCTTCATAAGATGCCAAACAAAAATGAAGTGAAAGTATGAAGTGAAAGATACCTTGATTCCAAATGACTTGTGCTTCTCTACGGTGAGATATGAAGTGCCTTTATTTGCAATATTCGGTAGCATTATTATAGTTTGCATTGAGCATCTTTAGTAGAAAAAAAAATTAATAATTTAAACAAATGATTTTTAATTTAAATCTTGATGTATAGAAAAAACTCTTTGAGTAATTGTTTTCATTTTATATACTGGACAAAACAGCAAGGGATTAATTTGAATTTTTAGACTTAAAATACTTTAAAAAATCCAAAAAAGAAAGAAAGTAGAATTGGATTCCAAGCGAGAGCTATATTGGGTATCTCCAAAACATATTAAAGATTTAATTAAGTCATTTTATGTCAAAACCTTATTATTAGCAATATAATTAGTAACAACACTAGCTCAATAATTACGTGCCGTACTCGTAAGTAAATATTATATATATATATATTTTTTAATATTTTAAATAATTTTAAAATAAAATTAATTAACACTCATTTTAATTGATTAACGGAATTAACTTTTTATTTTAAAACTTTTCGAATTCTAAAAAAAAACTTTTGTTTTAAAAGAAGTTAGAAAGCACTTTTATTTTAGCAATTACACTCGGAAAGAGCTAATATTTGCACTCCCTTGATGTTTCACCACATTCCCCCACCAATACGTACTTATTTTTGTTAAACTAACGAATGTATTTTTGAAGAAAATTAAACTCTTCATATTGCCATGGAATATATAAAGACTCCCTATTTTCATTGACCTTTCAGTTTCGCACTCGAGGACGAAGAGCCCTCATTCATTAGCCGCTAGTAATCGATAATTTGTGAAATTTATGAAATAATAAAAAAAGAAGAAGCTAATATTGAGAAATTTAATAGCAAAAACCCATTTCACAGTGTAACAACCATGCATCTCCACAACTGCTCCATATTGCTAATCCATCGGAGCTCACAAGAAAGATCTAAATTTGCAAGATCCCTTGGGACTTATTTCTTCGTTACAAACACCTTCGTGTTTATATGGGTCTCTGTCATATTGCTTGTGTTATCTTGGTATTTCAATGAATTTGTCTTCAATGATAATGAGAAAAAGACAGATGAGATGGGGAATTAGGATTGTGGTCTAAGAAAACAATAGTGGAGATGGTGGGCTCAATTTGGGTTGAGATGGACAGATGGTAGTGATCAACGAAGGTGGCTGGCTTGATTCGACTGCTCTGAGGGAGCTAGTCTTTGGCTATGAAGAGGAGTGGTTTCGGGATGTGGAGATTGGCGATGAGTGAGGAGTTTTAGGTGCGTTGATAAACTAAATAATAAATTATATTAAAAAGGGAAAAAGAGTAATTAAATGATTCATATTGATTGGTGAAAGAGAAATAAAAATTAGGGATAATGGCTCAATCTATCCAATTTATTTTTATATTTTAAAATAAATTAATTTTATATAGAGGAAATTTTTCATGTGACTAACTTGCAAATGACAATTTTTTATCTTGAAAATGTCCTCTTTCTTTATTCTGCCCCTCCAACAATAGCTAAGCTCGAAAAAGATGATAAAATCAATCACACAACCCCCCAACAAATCTGAATCATCCATTTATTACACCAAAAAATCAAAAATTATATCCCAATTCCTACTATCAAAACAGGACAAAATCATTTGACCTTGAAAACCCAAATAGATACTTGTATGTGAGGAATTTATCCTCCTACCCCCTATCTCTGAAAAAACAAAAAAACAAAAAAAAAAATCCTTAAATCACCACAATTTCTCTGCATTCTTAAAATCAAATATATGAAAATGGTTTAGTACAAGTTGATTATAATTTTGCTTATCTCATGTTGTTTGATCGTAGTTTGGCCTTAAGCCTTTAAATTCCAGCACTGCGATTTCTCTCTCTATCTCTCTCTAAATCCTCAGTTTAGAAATTATCTCTAAAAAATCTCAAACAAAATCAAACTCAAAATGTTGTTTCAGTCTCATGTTTTATTTTAAGGAAAACAGAGTGAAGATAAGCCCAAATTTGGTATTTTCTTTTTTAAAAAAAGTGAACCAACTACCTTCACTATCTCTTCAATAAAGTGACGATGTTTTTCTTTTCGTGTTTTTTGGATAATTTTTGAATTATAATTCATTGACATAGGTGAATCAATTACCATAGTATGTGTGTGTTTGGAAAATTCTATGGATGATGGCATTAAAAAAAAAAGGAGGAAGAGGGTATTTTTTAGGGTAAAAAATTGTCATGTGAAAATTACATTGTTCATTCTGGTATATTAACTTGAAATTTTTATTTGAATAATCGATTAGATACTTTACATAAATTGAAAGATAAAATTAGTTTATTTCAGAATACAAAGAAAAATTAGAAAAGAGAAAATTGCAAAGTGCCCAATTTTTGATTTTTTTTTTTCCTATTTGAGTGCACAACCTTAAATTAATATATTTAGGTGTCCAAGTTTAATTTTTATTTTTTTTTGAATGCCCATATACCAAAAATATTGATGTGTTCAAAATGAAATGTTACTTGAAAATTTTTAACTAATGCATGGAAAAGTGGATCCCATTTTAAAAAAGAAAAAAACTACAAATTAAGCACCTAACTTTTATTACTTTTCTATTTGAGTGCACAACCATTTATTCTATCTTTTTTAGTGTTTGACATTTGATTTTTTTTTTTTTTTAGTTGATTCAATCACTTGAAATTGAAAAATGCTAACATTGTTGGGATCCACTAACATACAGTAATCTTTAATTAACATGTGACAGAAAATGAGCCTCATTCAAATTTATTGAGGGAAAAAATAAAAAATTAATAACACTTTTACAAAAGAAAATAGTTGATAAGAAGTAAAAAAAAAAAAATTATGGCAACTTTGGGATTAACCAAATAAAATATTTAAATGGTGATATCTTGAAAGTGTTTTTAAAAAATCATCATCTAACGATAATTAATTTTGATTTTTTAAATTCTTGTCGATTATTTTTTTATTTTTTCTCGATAAATTCGAGTGAGATCCACATTTTTTACACGTCGGTGAATTCTCGCTTTTCAACATTTTTCAATTTTAAATGATTAAAAAAATTCAAATATATATATAAAAAAAACAAATCAAATGTTGAGAACTCAAATAAAAAGATAATCAAAAGTTAGATACTCAAAATGTAGTTTTTGCTTTTTCATTTTTCTCAATTAGTTCAAATAGCATCTACTTTTGCCACATGTCAATTAAAAACTGTGATGTGACATTTTATTCTGGAGACATTAGCATTTCGAAATATGGGCACTTAAACTGAAAAAAAAAATCAAAACTTTAACTCTTAAATAGAAGAATTTAATGGTTGAGCACTCGGCCATAAGGAAAAAAAATCAAATATTAGGCACTTAAATGACAATTTTTTCATTTTAAAAATATCCTATCATATAAAGATAGATGAAGTCATTATCATTAAAAATTATCTAGAGTATTTAAAAAAAAAATAGCTTGCAAGTTATATTTTACCTTCCATGCTTGGGTGATAAGGTTTAAAACCTTTCCTAAAACACCAACCTAGAAAGCATAGAGTAAAAATATGACACAATTATAATTTTTTCTTTAAGGTTTCTCATGAGATTGCTTTTATTTATTCATTTGTTTAGCTAAAAAAATATATTTACAAACCATTTCTTGTAAAATGAATGCATTAATAAGAGATTAAAATTTAAAATTTTGGATAAAAGGCTTTAAAACCGTAAAATAGCAGGTCATAATTTAAAGTTAGAATAGAAAGATTGTTCATTGTATGTTTCAATAAAAAAAATGGCATAGTAAGCACATCGATTTTATTTTTTTTTCAATCGAATATATAAATTTTTTTTTATTTTAGTATATCAATTTTTTTGAAAATATCAATTAAGTTTTTTCGTCTAATTTTTCATCTAGTAATAATATAACGAGTTAATAGAGAAGATTAAATGATTATATTGTTCTTTTTTCTCCTTCCTAATTATTATTATTGTTTAATTATTAATTTATTATATATAATATAATTAATAATTAAATAATAATAACAATTTTGGGAGGAGAAAAGAAAAAAGGCAACATAATCATTTTGTTTTTTCTATTAACTACTACATCGTCACTAGATGAAAGAACTTGATTGATATTTACGAAAAAAAATTAATATACTGAATAAAAAAATTGAGGTACTTAATTGAAAAAAAATTTAATTACTATACTTATTATATAGTTTTTTCTTTCAAAACCAATTGATCATATCCATTCACCTGAAAAGACACAACATTGAAGCAAATGCCAAACACTAATTCGCTGCTTTTAAAAGGCAGCACAGTACCATAGTTACACGACAACCGAGCTCTATCAAACCCGGGTGTTCCTAGCATCGTTCTTCTTACATTAGAGCGTTTTCCTCTCTCCAACGCAAGGCTATAAAACCGATGAGAACAGTTTTTCTTTTTTATTTTGGCAAACATAAAAAATGCCCTCTAGTTATTGGGTTACCATTAATTTTACATCAAATAATTTTTTGTATCAATTTTCTTTCCAAACAAGTTTTTAATTCCTCAATTGAAGTCTTCTTTTAGAATTATTTTAATACAAAACGTCAAGTTATCTAAAAAAAGATGTCTTTTCTTATCCAAAGGAAGTGTATTTTAATTGGAATAGATAATCTAAGTATGGATGAAAATATATAATTGAGAATTTATGCAATTTGAAGGATTTATTTGAGATAATAAGATATACGGGATTTAATGGCATTTTTTGCCTTTGAATTATTGGGGCTGTGACACGTTGAGGCTTATACTAATCAATTTAGTTATATTTTACCTTGAACTATCATGTTTTATACAAATATTGTTCTTCTATTTAATTTAATGGTTATTGTTGACAAAAAATTATTTTTAATATTTTAAACTGATTTTTTTATTTATGCTAATAAAAATTCGATATGTTTTTCAAAATTATTTAAAAATTGTATTTAGATCTTTTTCTCAAATATTAACTATTAACAAATAAAAAAATAAAAAAAATTAGAATGATCCCAAATTTACTGAAAGGCCTAAAAAAATATAAAATAATTTATTCAATCTTAGTATGATTCTCAAAATATTTACATAATTGAATGTGTAACACACTAATCAAGTTTAAAATAAATTAATTTTAGGAACCATACATGTAAAAAAAATTAGAATCACACTAAATTTACTCATGCAAATTCATAAGACCTCTTTATAACTTTCAAAATTTTTTTAAATAATTCCAAATTATTTTTTATTGTTCATAAAATAATAAAAAATACTTCCAAATTCATTTTTTTTTTGAAATTATTTGTAAAAATGAATTAGCTTCTATGAAAAATTTTAGTTTAAAATACCAGATTTTTTTAAAAAATATTGAAGGTGTTTTTGGTCAATGCGAACGATAAAATCGAAAAGAGGGACCATATTTGTCCAAACTATAATATTTCAATGTTAAAATTGATAAAATTAATAGTATAGGCCTCAATTTGCCAAAACTTTAATAGCGCAGGGGCAAAAAAGGCATTAAACCATATAATGCAGGTTGATTTTCGTGATCCCAATACCAAATTGCCACGTTAACACAGGGGTTTTCATGAACACGTGGTGAAAAGAGTTCAAGGTTGTACGCACAAACTCCTACAACCCAAACATTTTCCTTAACAAAAATAACGAGATAAAATGAAATGGCGGGCATTTAATTTAAAGCCTCAAGCTCACAATTAATAGAAGAGGATAAGGGAGGGGAAAAAAGAAGAAAAAAAGAAAAAGAAAATGGCAGCGAGTTCATCGCTCTCGATTCTCTTGGCAAATCCAGTACCCAAAATTAGCTGTAATAACCAAATTGAATATAGGGTTAGTGCTTTTAACCAGAGAACCCTTAAGAATTTGGGAATTAAACATGGTTCAAGAACCAGATTGAATGCAGGGTTGTCTGAGATTGAACCTGACCTTGATGAAGATCCTAGAGACCGTTGGGCCACTCCTGGTGTTGACGCTGTAGGTGTCATTTCATCTTTTATGTTAAGCATATGTGTTTTATTCTGCTAATACTGGTTCTTATTAATTATTTTTTGAAGGAAGATTTTAAGTATGGAGAGTGGGATGGGCATCATACTTACTTTGAAGGCCAAGACAAAAGTATGTTTTTATTAGGATAAGATTTTGCTAAGTTTTTTAGGGTTTTCGTTCTGTAAGCCTTCTTAACGTTTTGAATCAGTCGAGTTAGTTAACTAATTAATTAGGATGTGTGTGCATTTGGTCGTTTTTAATAACACAAGCATGACTCTGTATTTTAATGGATTAAAAATGTAAGTAATGCCTAATTCTTATTGGGATGCTCATTCAGGAACATTTTGGGAAATACTAAAAGAAGAATATACATCAGCAGAGCCCCCAACAGGCTTTCAAGGTATATCAAATGCCTCAAACTTTTGGATTACAGCATGGTCATGTAGATTAGAATTTAGAGGCGATAAAACTGTTCAGGTGTAAATTTTGGGTTTGATTCTTCACTATTAATGGTTTGCAGGGTTTATTTCATGGATGTTCCTTCCAGCAGTTGCTGCTGGGATGTATTTCAATGTGCCGGTAATGTCTAATTCAGATTCAACTTCCACACAAGATTTGATTATTAAACCTATTGACAGACTTCAGGATTGAAAAAAATGAAGACCTTAATGTGATTGAGATAGTTAGTTTTTTATCTAATCTTTCAGGGGGAGTATCTGTTCATTGGAGCAGGTCTATTTATGTTTATTTTCTGTGTGATTGAGATGGATAAACCCGACAAGCCACACAACTTTGAACCCCAGATATACAATATGGAGAGAGGAGCTCGTGACAAGTTAATAGATGACTATAATACCATGAGCATATGGGACTTCAATGAGAAATATGGAGAACTCTGGGATTTCACCATAACGAGGGAAGACATAACCAAGATATAATTTCACCTTGGGAAAAAGAATTGTTATTGGAATAGTTCTGTAAGTCAGCGACATTGTTGAAAGGTATAGTTTATATCTCCTAATTTTATTCCACCTTTTTCTCATCTTCTATTTGTAATCTTTCCCTATTTGGTTAGTTAGACAGTGAATGAACTTAGAATATCTAGAAGCATGATGTTAACTTTTCACACTCACACGGAGCAAATGCCCATGTTTTTTGTGTTGGATTTGGTTCCTCCTTATTTTGGTGTAAAGTGTGTTGATTTAAGAGAAGTCAGCTTTAGTTGCAGAGTGCAAACTTTTTCTACCACTTTGAATTTAATCCCAAGTAAATTGGAATTCACTAATGTACAGCTAATAAGAAGCATGTTATAAATTGGCTTTAGGTTGTTGTTGTAGCTCAAGATGTCTCTGTACCAAAGAGGTTCCATGTTTAACCCTGGTAACTAGTAAGAGTTCTTGATGGTCACGATGGTCTTTAGCATTTTGAGCAGTAGTAAGTAGGAAAAAAAATTAGAAGGGTGACGTTGGTGCCTCGGGACTCAAATTCTACCAACAATTACTTCGGCAGGCTAGTTAACTATGCATTTTCATGTTATCTTTAATTAGAATCATGATTTGTCCTTGATTTTTAATTAGCAAATCATCAAGAATCATTGTGTTCTTTTAGTCATCCTTGGTAGGGCAGCATTAAAGTAGCCCAGGGAAGGGAGGCACCTCTGTCACTTAGTCATGCTGCTCCTGGACCTTGTCTGACCTGATTAGTGCCATTCTAGAATATTACCTGACATCATTTTCAACCTGAACTCCGTTTTCTTTTCTGGTTAACTTTGGGATACCCTGATCACCATTTCACTGCACCTCCTAGCAATCCCGGAGGGTCGGAATGCTTTATGGGCTGTTTTTATGTGTGACATTTGTCCTGATTCATCTTTTATCAAATTCTCGCTGTGTTTTCGGAGAAAAATATCAGTCAGCTCCTTACCAGTTATTTTGGTGTAGGCGAGCATCAGACAATGTATGCCAAACTGAGAGATGAAATCAATAAGGTTGTAGGCTAGCAGCTACCCTTTTTGGTTCATTAACCACTCCCCTGGGGTTTGACTAAATTGACTTCTTGTTACCAAATCCTGATTACTTTATCTGCGCTTTTGTTTGCTTAGGTTATGTAAAGGTTTAATGTTTCAAAAAATCAATGATTTTATATTTTTTAATAATTTTAGCTCGTTTTTTAAATTTTGAATAGAAAGTTCACTAGCTATGTTTCGATAATAATATTAGTATAAATGAATTGTTTTGGCTTAAATTTCGATCAAAGCTAACGTGGCATATAATGGAGCATGATAGCGGGGCTAATTTTACCATGTAGGATTCCACATAAGATCCATGTGGCTTATTAAAAAAAAAGCACTCAACCTAATTAAAAAAAAATAATCCCTAAACCTAATTAAAAAAAGCTCTAATCCAATTAAAAAAATCATAACAAAATTCTTCCTTTTTCTTCTCATCCTTAGCCATTAACTAAACAAAATTTCAGAATCACTTTCTTCTTCTTGTTCTTCTTCTCTCTCACTCCAATTCCCACCTCTCATATCCAAAAAAGCAAAATGACATATCAATCCATGGAATTACCACAAGAATGTTGGGAATTGATTTCCATTTCGTTTAACACTATCGTCACTTCGAATCCTTCTCTCTAGTCTCCATTCAATTCTTCTCGATCACTAATCACCTCTATCGTTCCCTAATAATTTCCTCCTAAACAACCCTTTTCCTTCCAAATATTTTTCAAAGATTCCTAAATTTGAAAGGAATTGAAATCCTTAACTTTGATAGAGACCTTAATTTCCTTCTCCATCAAATTCCTAAATCGAGGTGAGACCTTGAATCCCTCACCCTCTCTAATCAAAGACACTTCCCTTTAACGGTTTTGAGAGAAATGACACTTAGAATGAGGAATTTGAGAGAAGCTGAATTGGTCGAAAATGAATTGCTTATAAGATACCGATCTTTACGCAATTGGGACTTCATTTCCATTGCTTGAAGATCTTAACATTAACTTTCCGCAATACAATTCATATTTTGATCCAAATGGGTCTATGGATTTGGAATGTCTTTACGGGATTGTAACCGATGAAGGGATTATTCACTTATTGATGAAGCTCAAGAATTTGCTTAAGATTGATCTTTCGATAACTAATTCATTATTGATAAATCATTTTAGTTTTTATCAATGAATTGTTTATTTTAAAGGGAAATAAGGATTCATGAATGTGATTTTATAAACTAGAATGGAATTGGCGTAGTTATGTGTAGATGCATTCATTTGAATTTTATTTCGGTACATGGAATTAGAATCCCTTCTATAGATTCCTTTTTCCAAAAATCATTTATGTTTAGGGAAAATTTATGAATCCCATGTGGAATCTTACATGGCAAAGTTAGCCCTATTGTCATGATCCATCACAAGCCACATCGACTTTGGTCGGAATTGAAGTCGAAAAAATTCACCTATTTTAGTATTCTTATCGAAAGCTTAATTGGTGATATTTCTATTCAAAATTAAAAGAACGAGCTACAATCATTAAAAGTATAAAGTTCGTGATTTTTTAGAATATTAAGCCTTATGTAAAATACCCTTTACATCATATTATTGTGGTATTAGTTACTGTCTAAAGTGCTTTATTGAAAATGATGATAAGATGGCACTTGTGGTGCCTTGCCATAAAACTATCGGTTGTCATTGGAGCGATTGTTACCTCTCGCACAAAAGAAAGATTTTTCTAGAGGCCAATTGAAAATGCTAGATAAGTCTAGAAGCCTTTAAAAAATTACGGAGCAATAGAGAAGCCTCAAAAGGTATTTAAGAAAAATCTAGACATGCTTCTAGAGAGTTCCTCATTATTCTAGTTTGTACATATCTAGATAGTCCTTTATAAATATCTAGGTAAAAGAATTTTAGAGGATCATTTATAGTCATTAGATTAAATATATCCTAGTCATCCATTGAGGAAATGGAGGACTATAAATAGATAAGGCCTTCATTTGGCTAAGACATTCAATTTAAGAGAGAAATACAAGAGTTGTGTTCTATGATAATTGTAAGCATTTAAGAGAGCAATAAAAAAAAATTCTTATATATCTTGTGTGTGTCTTTCTTGTTTGACGACTAGTGTTGGAGAAGGTTGACTTGGTTTGGTTTAAGGTAGAAATGAGCTAAGTGCAACACGAGAGCTTGAAAAAATGTCAAGTCCGTGACAAGTGGTATCGAGCCAACTTTTATCAAGCGTGGTTAAACCCGCAACTAGCTAAATGTTCAAAGAGTAAGGATGTCTAGCTCTAATGTTGAGGATGTTGTCGGGAACACTAAGAAGGAGACTCTACCTCCTCGACCTAATAAGAGTAAGGGAAAGTCTTGTGACGTGATGATTGCCTTGGAGGAACGGTTTTTAAGGATGGAGAAACGTCTTATCTATTTCAATGAGAGGCTAGAGTAGATAAATAGAGGCAATGAGGGGGAGAAACTAGGGCATGATAGGTCTACGTGAGTTACTTTTTATTCTCCAAACTCGAGTAGTGTCGATTGAGAGGTGTGTTAAAAAGAGTGTTGTTGAAAAGGATGCCTTCATGGAATAGATGAAGGAAATGTTTAAAAGCATTAAAAGTCTATGATCAAGTATGAGAAAACTCTTAAATAACTTATAAGAGATTGGATAATTTGTCGTAAAGCCATATTTAATGACGTGGTCTTGAGGGACGCGTCAAAAGTTAAAGTACCAAGACCAATCCATTATGCTTGTAAGCGAGATGCCAAGGAAGTTATTAACTTCTTTTGGTAAGTGAAGCAATACTTTGAGGTAGTGAGTTTAAGTAAGGATATGAGTCATGTGAAGATCGCTACCCTCTACCTAACATAAGATGATGCTCTATAGTGGCGCATGAAGCATCGAGAGCTTAAAGAGAAGAATCAAGAGTTGTTTATTTGGGATGAATTCAAAGAAGGCTGTGTATGTCTAATTCTACTTTAATGAATCGGATTGAGAAGCACGGGATAAGCTACGAATGTTGAAACATATAGGAACTATTCATGGATATGTCGGAGAATATGTCTCCCTTAAACTTCAAGTACGTGGTAAATTTGATTATAATCATATGTATGATTTTATTAAGGAACTTCAATCGTGGGCACGATAAGAGGTGTAAACTCGATGACCTAAGACCTTCACCAAAGTTGTGATCTGTAGTTGAATCCCTAATTGAGTAAAAAAAAAAAGTAGAACTCTCCAAGCCCAAAAAAGGCTACAAGGGTAAAAGTATAGGGCATGAGAAGAAAGGGTGCTAAGAAAGATAAGATAAAGCATACAAGTCTAAAGACTTTGTCAAGGAGCATGACAAGAAGAAATTTAAGCTCGAAAGGTTGTTATTTTTGCAACGAGCTACATCAATGACGAGAATGAGTGTGCTTTCGATCATGAGAAGCATATAGGGTCGTTGCGGCTTCTTAATACCTTGAATGTCAAGCCTACAAAAGCACCACTGAAGGATGAGCTAATATATGTGAATGTGGATGTGAATGGTAAGGCTGCACTTTTCATACTAAATAAGGGTGCCACATATAATTTTATGATCGAGTATGAGGTCAAAAGATTTAGTTTGGTGGTGACCAAATGGTCAAGTAGTATGAAGATGATAAATGTTTCTTTAAAGTATACGGTGGTATAAATATGGAGTGAATCTTGGTATAGGCGATGGAAGAGAACGTTAGATTTCACGGTTGTTACAATAGATGACTTCGAGGTTATGCTAGGCATAGAAGTTCTTCAAACAAAAAAATCGGTACCTACACCTCACTTAGAGCAAATGATGATTATGAAGGAAGAGACATCATGTATGCTGCCGACTAAAGTGCAAGCTAGATAAAAAAATAAAGCATATTTCAATTATGCAAGTGAAGAAGGGCTTCAAGAAATGAGAAGTCACCTACTTGACAATGTTGAAAGAAGATGCGTCGGTGGATAGTGAGGGTATGGAGATGCTCGAAGAAATTGCCAATGAGTTGGCCAACTTTGATGTTGTGATGCTACCGAGTTACCCAAGAAATTCTCACCTAAAAGGAAGATTGATCATCAAATTAAGTTAGTGATGGGTGCCAAGCCTTCGACCATGACACCTTATCATATGATTCCTCGTGAGTTGAAGGAATTGAGGAAGCAATTGAAGGCAATGTTTGAGGTAGGACAAATATAACCTTTCAAATCATCTTATGGCTCGTTCGTGTTATTCTAAAAGAAGCATAATGGATTATTAAGAATCGCATGGATTATCGAGCATTGAATAAAGTCAAGGTAAAAACCAAATATTCAATTCCATTGATAAGCGACTTGTTCGATCAATTAGGAAAAACTCGATTTTATGTCGGCTTAATTTGAGATCGAGATACTATAAAGTTTGGATTGCCACTAAAGATGTACCAAAGATAGCATGCGTGACAAGGTATTGTTCTTATGAATTTCTTGTTATGCCATTTGGCTTGATGAATGCCTTGGGTACCTTACGTACCTTGATGAATAAGGTATTTTAGTCATACATAGATTAGTTCATATTGATCTATCTTGATGGTATTGTGATTTATAGCTCGACGTTGAGGAGTATCTAGACCACCTATGTACTTTATTCAAAGTAATAAAGGAGAACGAGTTATATGTCAAAAGAGAGAACCGCTCCTTTGTAAAAGAGAAAGTTTTCTTCATGAGGCACAAGATTAAGAGAGGAAGGTTGATGATAGATGTGGCTAAAATCAAAGCTATCTTAGAATAAGAAGAGTTAACCAAGGTACCCAAGCTTTGCTCTTTTTTTAGGTTAGTCAATTACCATGATTGCTTCATCCGTGACTACTCGAAGAAGGTGTTTTCTCTCATTGACTTGTTAAAGAAAAACAAAAGATAAGAGTAGAGTGAACGAGTGTCGGGAAGCTTTCGATGATCTAAAAAAGCGTCATCTAAGAGCTAATGTTGAGCTTGGTTGACCTAACTAAATCATATGAGGTACACGTTGATGCTTTTGATTTTACTATAGGTGATGTGTTGATGCGGGAACAACATCCTATAGCTTACGAGAGTAGAAAGATGGAAGATGGGATATGATTGAAAAATAAATTAACGAAGGCTTGCTTTATTGAATAAGCGAGAAATAATAATAATTCCAAGGTCTAGCCTCGCCAACTTTATTGAGTCGAATACAAGAAAATCTCCCCCTTATTCTTATTCTCCAACTTAATTTATAAGCTGGAATATAAGCTTCATAAAAGGGAAAGTGCTAAATAAAAAGATTCAAATCAATTAGGAAAGGAAGTTCAAACCAAAGCGAAATTAGACCTTATCATTCTCTTCTTAGAATTCCTCTTTCTACGTACTTAAACTCTTAAAGGATGTTAACCCTTTGAATCCTCTACACTAATACCGGATTGCGAGGGATTCGGTTCGTAACATTGGTCACCTTTGGAAGACTCGTGTTGTCCTCAATGCTAAAATTTATCAAGCATATGAAGGCTCATATTTTGGTTAGGTTATTATTCCAAGGGGTTCACCAAATCCGACACCTCAAAATCAACCATACCAATGTCTTCCTTATCCTCATTGAGAATTAAGTCCTTGAGTTGCTTTTTTATGAACGATTATGCAAAGGATGATAGGGTTGTTTGCAATGAAAGCATAACCCTTTTCCTTTGAGTTCTAAAAATCTTGTTAGGAGAGGTGACATACTTGGACGTGTAGGTTCTTGTTTGGGTGCTTATAGAGTTAGCTTGTAAGGATAGAGGGAGCACTCGATTCATTACTTGTTTAGGTGCGATCTTTTGAATGAGTTTAATGTTCTCTCATGGAGCCAACCTCCTCCAGGAGCAAATCGATTCAATAAATCTTGCCAAGTCCATAACTTTAGACGGGGTCATGGATTTAAAGACGGCTTTGGATAGTGTCGATCAACCCATTCATGAAGTAACCTAGGTAGTGAGCTTCGGACAAGCTCGATACTTACGTAACCACGACAATAAAGATGTCGACATACTCGTCGATAATTGTCGATCGATGAACTCTTACAAGACTTTCAAAAGGGTTACCTATCCGACGGTCATCATACTTGGAGATAAGTTCTTAAGTGAATAGAGGCCATGTTAACCAAGTATGTGGTTGGCACAATCAACGAAGCTAGTGCGAGGTAGAGCCGTTCATACAAATCATTGCACTTTGAACCTTCTTATCTTTAGGGACATTTTGTAATTCAAAAATTTTTTTGGCTCGGGCAATCCAACTAATAAGGTCCACATCTTCGAACATATGTAACTCGATATGTTTTTGAAGATCAAAGTGGTTGGACATGGGTTTTGGAAATGCTTCGAGACGATGATGTTTGAGCATTGTTGCTTGTGGTTGGTATCACTCGTTGAGAAGGTAGGTTGTTTACCTCTAGACAAAGCTACTAGCTAGGCCATAATGGCCTCTAATTTGGTATTAGTTTCGGTTTGAAATCTTTTGAATTTAACGATTGCTCCAAGAATGGACTAATTCCTCTACCGCATCTATATGGGTTTCAATACGGGTCATGATGAACAAATAAGGTCGGAACACTCAAGTCGGTCCAAATTGGTAGAGGAGATATGATTGAAAAATAAATTAATAAAAGGCTTACTTTATTGAATAATTGAGAAACAATAACAATTCCGAGGTTTAGCCTTACCAACTCTATTGAGTCAAATACAAGAAAATCTCTCCCCTTTATTCTTATTCTCCTACTTAATTTATAATTGGAATATAAACTTCATAAAAAGAAAAGTTCTAAATAAAAGGATTCAAATTAATTAAAAAAGGAAGTTCAAACCAAATTAGAATCGGACCTCATAATTCTCTCTTTAGAATTCCTTTTTCTACACATATAAACTCTTGAAGGATGATGACCCTTAAATCCTCCACATCAATGCCGGATTGTAAGGGATTCGGTTCTTAACGAAAGTTGAATGACACCGAATGTCGATATTCTATGTAAAAGAAAAGGATGGCCATAGTGGTGCATGCATACTTGGAGCACTCTTGCTAGGATATCAATTTATGGTGAAGATGAACAACGTAGCTATAAGTTATTTTCAAACTAAAAAAAAGTCGACGTCAAAACAAGTATGATGGTAAGATATTTTTGCTAAATTTGATTATACCTTTGAGTACAAACCAGTGCAAGACCAATGTGATGGCCAATGCACTTAGTTGATTAAAAGCTAAGTTGCATCACATAACAAGGGTGGATTTTGAGATTATGACTTGGAATCAAGGATTGAGTGAAACATGATCCCACTTTTAAAGGTTTGTTGCCTCGTGTTAAGGAGGGCAAAACTCATAAATTTTGGAGGATGATGACACACTTTGCATGAAAAATAAAAGAATTTATATGCCTAAGTGGAGAAACTTTTGATGTGATCTAATCAAGAAAGGTCATGACTCGACATGGGTTAGACATCTATGACAACGACGTACTTAGAGCCTTATTGGAGAGAGTATCTTTTTAGCCTCGGTTGCGGGACAATATAGAGTTTTATGTGGGGATGTACTTAGTGTGTCGGCAAGATAAAATTGAAAATTAAATGTTTGAGGGTCTATTGCGGCACTTGCCTATCTTTGAGAGACCATATGAGAGAATAACCATGGATCACATAGTGACTTTACCAAAATCCGAAAACTTTGAGAGTATTATCATAGTTGTGGACAAATTCTTCAAACATGTGGTAAAGTATTAAAGTGTGCCACTTGCATATCATTAGTGATTGAGATCCCTTATTCATTGGAAAGCTATGGATGAAAACTTTTTGAGTTGTTGGGCTTGAAGCTACACTATTTCATAAGTTTTTACTCGTAGACGAATGGACGGATGGAGTGGGTAAATGTGTTATTAGAAACATATTTGAGGCATTTGTGAGTGTCAATTAATGAGATTGAGCTAAGTTGTTAGATGTTGCCCAATTCTCCTATAACTTACAAAAGAGGGAGTTTATTGACAAGAGTCCATTTGAGATCATGATGAGCTAGGAGCCTCTTACTCCACATACTAATGGTGCTTAGCGATAAGAACCAAGGAAACAACCTTAGTGCATATTTGTTGACCGAGGGATGGCAAAAACGGACAATTTCGATGTGAATGTATTTAAACAAGGTTGCTTAAGAAAATGAAAAAATGGGTTGACAAAAAACGAAAAGACGTCGCCTTCCAATCGGATGATAAAGTAATGGTGAAGTTGCTTGCCATAACAATATAAGAAATTTTGTAAGGTGCACGAAAGGACTCATATGTCGATGTGAATGACCATTCGAGGTAGTGCAAAATGTGGGAGAGGTGTTCTATCAATTGGAGTTATCACCGAAGTTGAAGAGTTATCCGGTGTTCCATGTTAGTATGCTAAAGCCATACCATACGGATAAGGAGGATATAAACCGATGAGTTTCTTATAGAGAGCATACGGTAATGGTTGACTCGTATGATAAAGAAGTTGATGTCATACTTAATAAAAATACAATCGACGCTAATGGAGTGCCATCAAAGAATGAGTATTATGTAAAATGAAAGGGATTACCGAGAAAGCAAGACTAGCTAGGAACCTGTTGAAGTCTTGTGGTAATTCAAATTGAAGGTTGAAAAATACAATGAGGACATGTCGAGGATGTCGCCAAATTAGATGAGGGATAATGTTACGTCCCGCATGAAAGATGGATTTTTCTAAAGGTCAATTGGAAATGCTAAATAAGTACGAAAGTCTCTAAAAGATTACGGAGCGATGGAGAAGCCTCATGATATTCAAAAAAATCTAGACATATTCTAGAGAATTTTAAAGAGTCCCTCATGTTCTAACTTATACATATCTAGATAGTTTATTGTAAATATTTAGGCAAGAGAATTTTAGAGATTCATTTGTTGTTATTAGATCAAATAGATCCTAACCATCCATTAAGAAGGTGGAAAACTATAAATAGAGAAGGCCTTCATTTGGCCAAGACATCTAATCCAAGAGAAAAATACAAAAGTTATATTTTAAAAGAGTTGTAAGTATTTAAGAAAGCAATATAAAGAGTTTTTATATCTCTTGTGTATGTCTTTTTTTTTTTACAATTAGTGTTGCAGAAGGTTGGCTTAGTTTAGTTAAAAGAAAAGTGAGCTAAGTGCTGCATGAGAAATTAAAAAAATGCCAAGTCCATCACAGAGGTTGTAGTTTTTAATTTGAATTTTGTTAGCTTGTTACTATTCAATAAAATACGAAGACTAGCCCTATAAAAAATGTTTAAAATGTTTACATTTTGTACTCTTTTATGCTAGAAATGGATGTGGTTGCGTGTTGTCCTATTTTTGAAAGTTCTGTTTTGCTTATTTATCACTCTGTGGAATGCCTTCACGTTATTCTCAGCTACAGTCTACAACTGAACACCGGTCTGAAAATGCTATGTTTTGTTGTCGGCTCAGATTTCCCTTCTATTACGAGTTTTGAAAATTATGTTTGTTTTAAAAACCAGTTCCGTGGAATGGACAAGCGAGCCCCTGCAATTGTCTATTGAGTTTTAAAAATGATTTAGTACTGTGATGTTCGCTGTTTTAATGAATGAATTTGTCAAATTCCAAATGTCATGATGACGCAGACAACTTCAATTCCTTTTTCCAATTTTCTTAAATGTAAAGTTTCCAAATTTTACTTTGACTGGATCTGTTTTACTCTTCCCAAATTCATACAGTATAAGTTTCCACAGGTTGGATTTATATCATGAGTTTTAGGGACTAACTAGCTGGTTTTTAGCGCTGCGCTACAGTTCTGGTAAAATTAAATTATTTTAAATTTTTAAATTTTTTTAATTAATTTTTTTAATGTTTTTATAAAGTCTCTAATTAACAAAATATAAATTATTCTTCTTTACGGATGGATATATATATATATATATATATATATATATATATATATATATATATATATATATATATATATAGTAATTAATAAAATTAGTATAAAAAATAGTATTTGAATAATTGATTGGTTCATTTAAAAAATTATTTTAATTATTTTATTTTAAATAAATTGGTTTTATAATGTTAAAAAAATATTTATAGTAAATAATTTGTATTATATTGAAAGATGTATAGTTAATTTTAAAATTTAGTAATAAATAAAATTAGCATAAAAAATAATATTTGAATAATTGGTTGGTACCTTTAAAAAATTATTTTATTCTAAATAAATTGGTTCTATAATGTTAAAAAATATATTTATAGTAAATAATTTGAATTATGTTAGAAGATGTATAGTTAATTTTTAATAAAATCAACGATTCAATAATTTTTTTATACATCGTGACTATATCTAGTGAATTGAGATAAATTATTTAAAATACAATTTTAACTTTTTAGAATAAAATAATTATATATTTATATATATGCGGCTATCATGTAAAAATTTTAAGAATGATATATATTACATCAATTTATTTATTTTTTAAAATCATGTTTTAAAATTTTATTCTAAAATTCAAACATAGAGAAAAATAAATTATATAATATCAGTAAATAAAATTTCATATAAAAAAATATTAATTGGATGAGAAATTTTATAAAAACAATGATAAATTCAAAAAAAAATTTAAATAATAAGAGTAATATAAACCAAAGTATATATTAATTTTAAAATATAAAAAGGTATATTATATAATCGTCGGTTTGTGTAAAAAAAAGTTACGATTGATTTTTCAAAATTTTGACACCCCGATTGAAAAAAAAAAGAACATAAATTGATGGAAAAAAATAGAAAAAATTGATTTTTCAAAATTTTAACCCAATCAAATAAAAAAAGAACATAAATTGATAGAAAAAAGTAAAGAAAAAAACCAAAAGAGAAAAAAAAGGTATGTCTATCGCATCGATCGGGGATTAAAATTTTTAAGGATCAAAATAAAATAGCTTAAAAATTAAAAAAAAATCGAGAAATACACTATTAAAATCATCTAAAATAACTTAATCTCGATTTTCCTAAATAACAATTGCGATTGCATAAAAAATTTAAAGAAAAATAAAATAGTAATGTTGTAACATGAAAATTATTTAAAGCAAATACAAAAATAAACTTGTAGCCAGCGTCAACTATGTTCCTATTAGAGTCACCCTATCAGTCATTACCAATACTTGTTATCTTTTATCTTATTTGTAATCTTACCATAAAAAAAAAAAAAAAGGAATTATAAGTAAAAAAAAATCTGTAACTCAAAAAAATGAATGTCATAGTTAAAGATTTTTTTTTAATTCACAATTTAAGTCTAATATTTAATATTTAATATTTATTAAATTTATTCAAATATATCATGCTGATGAAAAAAAAAAACCTTAAAAAGATTTTGTGATCATACAAATTTGAAGTAAGCAAAGAATAGTTTTCGTTTTCTTATTTTCTTCAAAATGTAAAGAGCTATTTTTGTCATCAGGGAGAGAAAAAAATAAAAAAAATCAAAGATCTAATCTACTGGACTGAAACCGGTTCGCTTGTGATTTGCAAATGATGATTGCAAACAATGTCCTATAAGTAAGCCACAGAACGTACGCGTCGTGTTCTTTCTCTCCCCTTCAACTGCTCACACTATTAAAAAAAAAAAAACCACCTAAGCTGCAGTGGAATAGTAATTTACTGTTCAAATGAACAGTGCACTAAGTCGATCCAACGGCTGAAACAAAAAAAAGTACAAAACAATCGTTTTGCACAGTTGTTTAACAAAATTCAAGAAAAGCGGGCGGAAAGAAGTGAACAGTGAGTCCACAGTAAATATGAGTTTATATGAACAGTAAACATGTACTGTTACTTTTTCTCATTATCTTTTAGTTTTATAGTAACAGTAATAGTAATTCTCATGGCTCATCTTATATTGTATATGCAAATCTATCCAAGTGTTGGGACCTCTTAGCTTTAGTATTCAGCCCACTAACTGGTTCCCCAAAACCAGATCGCATTCCAAATGTAATGGCCGTTTTTTACCCGGGGAATCAGCGTTGCTGAACTGCTGATGGTTTCTGACCCCGTGCTTGAAAAAAGTCTAGCTAATGATCTCTTTCCACACGGCAAGAGTCACATTTTCAACACTGAAGCCAGCTGCCGGCGTCACCTCAAAATTTAAGACTCTAGACTCACCAATTAGTTGCTGCCAACCAACCACGATACATTAAACATCAGCCGCCTCATAATAATCTCGAGTCACGTGTGAACTTCTCCCCTACAGCAAGGTCATACAATTCGGCCATCTTAAACCATATATTTGCAGCTTTGAAGTCTGCATAGCGCCTGGATGTTCAAGAGTTTGTCCTGAACCAATTGAAAGCTAGAATCAAGTTCGCCCTTTATACGCTTTCTTAATCAGTGGAGACAAAAAAAAAAAAAAAAAAGGACGCATAAGCCATGGCCATCCAATGAAGCTGACCTAAAATCCTCGAAGGTGGGATCCACCAGGTAGTTGGATCCACTCCGCTGATGGAAGAAGTGAAAAACATAACCATCTAATCTTGAATAGAATTTTAACAAGGAGAGTTTCCACTTCCACGATCTCTTGAAACTAAAGACCTCTCGCTCTTCTTTTAAGCAAAACATTGCACGGTAGAAAAGCAGAACAATCAAGCCAAAAATGATCACCAAATCCCATTTAGTCTCTTCTATCCTCTTCCTCCTCTCTTACAGTACTATCCTCCACCATTTGCAAGCCCAACCAAGCACTCAAGGATTCACCTGCACAGCCAATCAGAGTTCCTTTCCATGTCAAACCTATGCGTTCTACAGAGCCTCAGCTCCTAACTTCCTTGACCTTGCCTCAATCGGTGACCTTTTCTCGGTTAGCCGCCTTATGATATCAAAACCAAGTAACATCTCCTCTCCAACCTCACCTCTTATACCCAATCAACCCCTCTTTGTCCCTTTATCATGTTCGTGCAACAGCATCAATGGCACTAGTATCTCCTTTGCAAACATCACATATACCATCAAACCAAATGACACTTTCTACGTTGTCTCGACTGAATACTTCCAAAACCTAACTACTTTCCAGTCTGTTGAGCTTGTTAACCCTACACTTGTCCCCACACAACTCAAAATAGGAGTAGATGTGATCTTTCCGATATTTTGCAAGTGTCCTAATCAAACCCAATTGCAAAATAAGGTGAATTATCTGGTGTCTTATGTGTTTCAGCCTTCTGATAGCTTATCTTCAGTTGCTTCAACATTTGGAGTTGAAACACAATCTATTGTGGATGTTAATGGCAATAACATACAGCCTCTCGATACCATATTCATTCCAGTCAACCAACTTCCACGACTGGCACAACCCACAGTTGTTCCTTCTGTGCAGCCTTCTGGGAAGACTGAGAGGAAAGGTTTGATTATAGGATTAGCAGTTGGGCTAGGAATTGCCGGGCTTTTGTTGGTCTTGGTAACTGGGGTTTGGTTTTATCGAGAGGGTGTATTGAAGAAGAGAAGAGATGTTGAGAGAGATGACGAGAAGCAGAAGATGCAGTTCAGTGCGGCAAGGAAAGGTCCGAAGGATATAGAAGTGAATTTGATGGCAGATGTTTCAGATTGCTTGGATAAGTACAGGGTCTTTAAGATTGATGAACTGAAAGAAGCTACTAATGAGTTCGGTGAGAATTGCTTGATTGAAGGATCTGTGTATAAAGGGTTCATAAATGGTGAGGCCTATGCCATCAAGAAGATGAAGTGGAATGCCTGTGAGGAGCTCAAGATATTGCAGAAGGTAAGATCTTTTTTCACTAATTACAGTAGATTCTCCAGCCTTCACTGTTTGTTTGGTTTCCATTTTCCAATAAGATGATAAGATCAGGGAACCAGTTGCATAAACCTCCGTTGTTTGTTTCCATACTTTTACAGCTCACAAGGATTCAACATATATGATACAATTAAAGATGATTTAGCATTTAAATTTAACAAGCACGCATGTATACTAGTGATTCGAGTTCTAGCAGAGCAGAGTTCTGGCCACTGGCATCATCAACTTCTGGCAAGTAGCAACATAAATGATTAAGTTCATGATCTCGTCTGTTTGATTTTTTTAGCCAGGATATGTTGTGCAATAGGAAATTGTTAACATAAATCTAAATGCAGGGGCTATAATGAGAAATACAGAAAAACGTGGGATTAAAAATTGAACCATTCTAATAAGACAGCGACACCAGTGTATGACTTCCATTAAAACTTGCAATTGTCTGATTTTATATTTGGTTAGGTGAAGTAACCTGTCAATTTAGCAGGTTTAAGGTTTTAAATTGTAGTTGCATTTTAACTTGTTTTCAGCTGCTTAATAAGTGAGGTTAGGCTGTAATGTCAGCATGGCCAATTTCTTTGGGTGTGCTAGTGTGGATTCCTCACCAAATACAGCAATAATCAAATGCCTCCTTTTCTCCCTTCTTGAAACAAAATTAATAAAGCCTGTCGATTTCCCCATAAAATGAAGCCATGATGCCGCTATTATCAGAATGTAGACATTTCAAGCCATAACTAGATACCGAAATGCCAACCTTGTCTTTACTTGATCTCCTTACTAATCTGCAGATAAATAAATGTACCTAACTGCAAAATATTTGAAATTAAATGCTAACATATATAAATAAGGGAATGATTTCATTGCCATCAAGTTCCTGCAATAGCTTCGCATATATTTTATTCTTAAGCTATTTTTTTAGGTCCATTGGTTGGATAGTTTGGTTTGGCTTCGGGCAACTTGCCAAAAAGTTTCTGCTGGCTTAATTTCAATATTAAATGTCATGAACTTAAACAACTCCAAACTGTTGATCTCAAATTGCACAGTGAATCAGTGATAGATTGTCATGAACTTAAACAGCTCCAAATTGTTTTATTAAATGTCATGAACCTAAAAGAATCTGTTTGTTCAATCTTGGAATTATGAGGAGGGATGATAAGCGATAAGTAAAGTTTATTTTAGAGAGATTTAGGCTGAAATGCTTTCGCCAGTATAGCACAGTGAATCAGCGATATAATTTGCCTAGTATCTACCAAATAAAGTTTTAAGCTTAGTGAGTTTCCTTGTGATTCATGTGAAAATACATTTTTATATTGCTATGAGACAAATTCATTGTTTCCTTTATTGAAGGTAAACCATGGCAACTTGGTGAAGCTAGAGGGCTTTTGCATAGACCCCGAGGATGCAAATTGCTATATGGTCTATGAGTACATAGACAATGGCTCTCTGGATTCATGGTTACATGGCAACAAGAAAGAAAAACTAAGCTGGAGAACAAGGTTACACATTGCAATTGATGTTGCAAATGGTCTCCAATACATCCATGAGCACACTAGGCCAAGGGTTGTACACAAAGACATTAAAAGCAGCAACATTCTGCTCGACTCTAGCATGAGAGCCAAAATTGCCAACTTTGGACTTGCAAAATCAGGCTGCAATGCCATAACAATGCACATTGTTGGCACTCAAGGCTACATCGCACCTGAATATTTAGCTGATGGGGTGGTGTCGACAAGAATGGATGTTTTCTCATTTGGTGTGGTTTTGCTTGAGCTGATCTCAGGCAGAGAAGCAATTGATGAAGAAGGCAAGGTTTTGTGGGCTGAAGCTAGTGGAATCTTGAAGGGAAACGTTGAAGAGATGAAGGTGAAGAGATTGACGGCATGGATGGATAAGGTTCTTTTAGAGGAATCATGTTCAATGGAGAGTGTAATGAATGCAATGGCTGTTGCAACTGCTTGCTTGCATAGAGATCCATCAAAGAGGCCTACCATGGTGGATATTGTTTATGCCTTGTGTAAGAGTGATGATTTGGTTTTTGACGTATCAGAAGACGGATTGGCAGACCCTCAGGTAATGGCAAGATAAGTTTTTTTTTTTTTTTAGGAGCTAAAAATAAGATTTGATTTTGTTAGTTAAGGATTATGTGTGTGTGTGTGTGTATATATATATATATGAGATAAATAATACGATGTAATATATGTATGGTTACAAATTATCTGTATAGAAATTTTATGGAACCATATAACGCCATTTTGTGCCTGAACAAAAATGGAGTTTGCTGTATTTATAAGGCGTTTTAGATTTGGAACAATATAATGCCACTTTGTACCTGAACAAATCGAAGTTGGCTGCACTGTTTTTCTTTTCTTTCTCTTATTCAAGAATATCCCAAGCCCCATTAGCATATGGGCAACCCCCAGAATAATATATCTCTATTAAAATAATTATCCATTTAATTCTCCAGGAACATTCATTTCTCTTTATAGGGAAAAAGGTGCAACTACAATAACGAAAGCCTTGATCGGTAATTTAATTTAATTAGTACATGCTAGAACCATGGAAAGATATATAGCGAGCAGAGGATGCTGCAGAATAAGAATTCGCACTCTAATCATCTGTTTTTCTCACTTTGCCAAGCAAGGTTGATCTAAATCTTTGCAGCTATATCATGAATTGCCTTGCCATACAAGAGGGTTTTCCCATGCATCTTACTTCTCTAGTCAGTTTTGGCGTTGGTCAATAATACAGGGTTTAGCAATGACCAGATCTTAAGAATAGAAAATCCATTGAAGTGCAGGTTTGCCTGAAACTCTCAACATTCCTTTTCTCAGTTATTGCAACATGCTTTACCTTCTTGACATATGGTAAGTTTCAAGTATGTCCGAAAATGAGCTATCCACATAATTGAAATAGAGAATATTCATATATACAAACCAGAGTCGCTGGAAAAAAAATCTTGCAATATTTTAATGGAAAAATCTTCTAAAATATAAGAATCGTCTCCATGCTCGTCGAACACAAGGCCTGTTCTGCTATGCAGGGGTTCCTTTTTTTTTTTTTTTGAAAAGAAAAGAAAACTCTCATCCTAATTATTATTATTTTTTTTACAGCATTTGATTTAGAGTTTTTGCTGAACAAATGCTTCAAAAAATGTAACTAGGATGAGAGTGAGGTTTGTTTGTTTGTTTGTTTTTTAATTGTCATGCCAATGGTCTTAGGCTGGTAGGTGAGCTGAGGTAGTGAAGCCCAAATCATGGTGATTCATTCTGTATTTGATAACAAATAAAAAAAACTTGGGCTTTGCCAATAATGAGCGGATCCTTTGCTGTCAAGTGTCTAGTACAATAATGACGATGAAAGAAATTAAAAGGGAGATAACGTAGCTCAAGCTTCCTTCTTTTTAACAAACAGGATAGCTTAGGCTCGGTAAATTTACCAGTGAATCAAAAGAAGAAGGAAAAAAAAACCTTAATTTCATCGTATTTTTTTAAAAAAAATAATAAGACAAAGTCTAACGAAATTGTGCAAAATATTAGTAAGACAAAGACAGAAGCAGCCCTATAGCAAGAAGACAAGCTAAAGCAAGAGTACGACAGCGCAGCATGTGATTCATCAGTCAATCATCAATCTGACGGCGTGTCAGTGCCAGGCATACACATGTCATTCAGCGTGTCATAAATCTTTGAATCTACACCAATTCTGCATTAGTTGTTTGTTAAATACACAAGCCAAACTGTAGAAAGCAAACAATTTGGAGGTCAATGGATATAATATTATTGGATCCATTGACCAATTCATCCCACACGGATCATTGGATGGGTCGGGATCTAAAAGTGGTTTCTCCTATAAAGCAATTTTATAAGAGTGATAGTTTAAGAAATGTTATAGAAAATTTATAACTTTTCTGTCTCATATATATATATATATATATATATATATATATATATATATATTACAACTACTCTCTTTTCTCTTTTCTCTTTTTTTTTTTTTAATTATTCACTACAAATACATTGTGATCGAAATATTTTAATCGAAACATCTTCTAAAATATAAAAATTGTCTCCATACATGTTCATCAAACATAAGGCATGTTCTGCTATGCAAAGAAATTTTATAATACTCCAAGAGTAACTAGTGGCGAGTTATAAGTTACTCCATCTTTTATAAACCTTAACTCGCCATGTTATTAAATTTTTTAGTACATGTGGCTTTAAGAATAATATGACGTGGAATACTTAAAAAAAAGCTTGATAAAATTTGTCTTGCGACCAATAACCCTAAACAAAAAAAAGGCGTGAAAAGTTGTCTTGCAGCCAAAAAATTGCGGGACTAACCGAGTAGTTTGGTGGCTGCGAAAAATTTACTCGTTCTTTCTCATTGAAGAGAAGAGAAACAAGAATTAGGTCGGTTGGTCGCAATTCTTTTCTCGCCAATCTTTCTTATTGAAAAGAAGAGAAACAACAAGGTTTCTAATCAAAGAGAAGAGAAACAACAAGGGAATTAGGTCGGTGGCTACATTTCTTTTGTCACAAAGGTTTTTAATTGAAGCGAGACACGAGCATAGGAATTAGTTTATATGTTCTTTTTTATTGTTAAGCATATCATGAATAGCTTGCAAGATCATGATTTGAGTAAATCTTTTTTGTATTTCAACAAGATCATTAACTATGTTACTGCGAAACTTCCTTTTCGTTCTTTTTTTTTTGGGTTTTTGCACGGTTTGAGTGGCTAGAATCAATTGGAATGGATTGGGTTTTTGTTTAGTGCTTAAAGGGAATTTATATTCATAGGGTGTTAATTAATAGACATTATTGTTATTGAACCTTTGATGAAGCACCTATTGGAAGAATGGAATAAGAGAAACGAGAGAAAAAGAAGATATAAATGCATTTTGTTACTTGGACTAAGGATGTGACTTTCTTTCTTTAGTGGGTTTATGTTATGTTTCATGTCATGGTCATGCTAAGAGTCGTTTTTTCCCTCGTGGCGGGGAATGCTATTGGGGTTCAAGAAAACGTTGATTCTTCGATTTTGTACTTTTTTGGATGAGACGAACTTAATGAAGTTCTCTTCATGAAAAATTGCATCCCGGTGTTGCTCGTCTTTCTAGGAATGGAACCAAAGTTTCACCGAAGATTATCCTCAAGGAATTCCTTTGCATCGAATAGCGAGTGTAACGTATTTCAAATATTAACGACCCTCCATCTTTCTCATTCTAAAATTTTCTATTGTCTTGAGTATTTTGTCAATGTTCATGTCACCGATGTGTCGAGTGCTCCTTGTTCCCTAGCGGAACAAGGGATTAAATGATAATTTCTTACCACATGTGTGCATCGAGCTTGGGTGGGAAAACTTATCCCTCAAAGGAAACAAGTATGCATTTTGGTGCAGTGTACGGAGGTGGTAACATTGCAACTAATTAGCCAAGCTATATCACTTGTGATATTTTTTCTAGGCACTGTTTGTTGGTAAAAAATAACTTTTATTCTCGCTTTTTGACCATTTCCTTTTGTTAGATTACTGGTCAAGCCATTGACCATTATTGTTATTGAACCTTTGATGAAGCACTCGTTGTTTATTGATTTCCATAATTGGTCCGAAATTATAATTATAAGGTCATACCGTTAAAATTATTAAGCTCGTGTGCATTTTCTCAATGATTACTTTGTTGTTTATGATTGTCAATGGCTTTGTTAAGTGCTTGTGTTATTTTATACTTTGGCAAGTTTCATATTCTAGATCTTTGCTTTAAGCAATTTTATCTGTCTTGGGTAATTTACGGTTTCCCTTCTTTATCAATTAGTTTAAAAAATAATACATTTATCCGGCGGAAGCCCATTCCGTCATATTTTGATTGGATCGTAGAGTTAACATGCATATGTTATCGGATCTAAGCAAGACAAGGAGCCGGAAGGTGTATCGAAGTTGTGGGTCTTGGTCGATCCGAAGAAGTTGTAATCGATGGTATGTGATTTAAATTTCTCCCACAGTATTTGAATCTTTCATCCTCAATTCTTACTAGTTTATACTATGGAGAAAGGTCGCACAAAGTGGTCCGTTAAGTACTATCTACAAATGAATGACTTTGTAATGCCATATGCTATGATAAAGGTATTGTCATTTATTGAGGGGAACAATGAGGCGGGGCCATTACTTGGTGATGATGAGAAGCCCCGGTGAGATCATATTATGTAGTTTCAAAGACGAGACATTCAAGACTATGTTTAGGATTATGTAGGATGATTCCAAAAACAATTTACTAGTACATCCGAAACACATGTATTAATCAATGATGCAAGATTGTTTTAGGATAATGTTTTAGGATTATGTAGGATGGTTACATGTATTAATCTTTGCCCAGGTTATTAAAACACATTTTGAATAAATTATCCGGTTTCTTAGTTACACGGTTCACCGTTCATGCTCGTTTCATTGCTAACACTTTCTTTTTACTTAATTTTTAGCTCGGTTCTTGCATCAAAAAAGGTGTCGCTTCCGGAAGTCCACGGGAGCATCTTTTGGAAGTTTTTATTTTTCAATTATAAAACTAAGAGTTTATGTGTTTATGCTTGCAATTTGTTGACGGATCCAAATACTAAGTACAACCCCGGCAATGCTCGATAAGTTGACACTACGAAATGCAGCATTTACCATTTATCGTGAAGCTCATGTTACGATTGTAGGATGGTCGATACATGTTGATTTTTCAATTATAAAAAAATTGTATTGTATTTAAGGTGACTTTATTGTGTAGCAGAAATCGAAACGTGATAAATTTGTTTCTCCAGACTTGGAGAAGATTATAAATTTTTGGATTTACTTAATGATGATTGAAATTCTTCATTATAGCCTTAACCTTGTCTTCCGTCATTTTATTTTATGAAGTTAATGACGTTAATAATTAGATCAATCATAAAAACCTTGGAGACTTCAACTCGTCAAAAATATGTTGATGTTTCTTCCTTTGATGTTTGCACAATCATTTAAATAATAGCTGCAAGAATCATGGGGTTTTCTCTTCCAAAATGGATAGAGATTCATCAGCAATAAAACCTGGGGAAAGGTATATTTGAGCATTCCAAAACGATTGTATTGCATTAACCATGAGATTACAATATGGTGTGTAAATTCGAGTGTTTAGACATCCTTCTGCAGAGTGCTTTTTATTTTTTTATTATATGCTGAAAATTAATTTAACGATATAGTATAAAATAAAGCTCATATCCCCACATCATAATTCGGTGATACGAGTTTAAATGAATGGCCTTGCTGATTCCGATTATGTGAGTGAATTAGCCGGATGTTAAAGCTTAAAAAGCTATAAAAAAAATCGAACAAGAAAAGCTCTCATGCGAGACACATATAAATTGGTAAAGATTCTTCATGAGGTAAAACGAGATAACAAATTAATGAGCATGAGGTCCGAAATGCCTATCTAACCCGTGCGATTGAGTTATATTGCAAACAAGATGAAGTCATGTTATGGGATCTTGTAAATTGTTATTGATCGTCCATACATTTTTTAACAAATAGCTAATCAAAATATTATCAAGATTCAAGGATAACCATAAGAGTAATAAGAATACATCAAAATAAAATTATACTAAGACCATAATTAAAAATAGTAAAGATTCTTCAATTGGATGATCTTCAAACAATATCTTCAAATTTGATTGAGAAATCAACTTGAACCTATTCCATGATTCAAGGGTAGCCGGATCTAGCAAGATTACTTCGACTTGGTGGTGGATTACGGATCATCAAATTTTGAGATGAACTCTGTCAAATTATTACATTATTAGATTATTGCACAAACATTAAACACCTTCATCACAATAATATGATAATATATTAAAATACCTGTTTTAGTAACTCTGTGAAAGACATGCTAGAATCATGTAATATAGACATCCGCATATATAATAAGAAAAATTATTCAATTATATTTGTGAAGACATAATATTTCAAATCAAAATTAGTAATGAAATAAAAAATAAATAAAGAAAAGTGAAAGTACCTTATTTTTTGAAGAAATATAATTTGTAGTTGTACTTATTAAGGATACTACAATCATCAATTTGGCCCTATAAATAATATACAATTTATCAAAACATGATAGTTTAGACATGTAAATTATTAGTGAATAAATGATCGAATTATTTATAAATTAATAAACAATTCAAGTTTACCTCAAAATCGAGTAACGATTACTTTTGGTTACTTGGAAGAGAGCATCACCTTGTGCTTGCAGTTGTATTTGAGAAACATTTTTCTTTCTTCATGATTTTTTTTTTCTCATATCGCGGTTTGTACCGAATATTCTTTTTACCCTTTGGCCATCTAGTTAGAGGATCTAATAACAAATCCTTATTTGCATTAGTATCACAATTAAGACCATTTTCATCTTGATCATTATTGTTTCCCTCCTCGACTAAACTACTTTGATACCTTGAAAGCTCGAATCTCAATATTGTTCAAATCATCATGAGCCATCTTCGACATATTTTCATCGATAGCAGCAATACTCATCACAAGAAAAGATCTTCTCATTAGCGAATTCAATCGTAACGTAGTAGGTGAAGAAAATATATTATCTTTTTGATTAGGATAATTCTCAAAGCCAAGCCCTCGTTTTGCAAACTTAGTCCACCTTTTTACAATGTACTCGTGAAGGGATAGATGTTACATCCATATCAATATGCAAGACTCTTAAAGCATGGCAACATAACAAACCCATAGTCTTAAACTTGTGACAACTACAAGAAATGTTAGAATCTTCTACATCAAATCGTATAACATCCCCATCTTGCATGGTAAAAATACGACGACTTCCATCGGTGGCATTATTAATAACCTTTTGAGACATTCCTAGGAGAAATTCACTTTGAAATTTAAAAAACATAGCTGAAGTATAAATTTTGGATGCATGCTTCAAGATTCCACAATTCGGTATCGGAGGTTTAAGTATGCCCCTACTCTTGAAATCATTATGTAGTTCAAGATCTCGCATTTCTCGTGCTCTTTGTTCGTACCGACTAACGAATTCAATCAATGTCATTGTTTTAGTAGTCATTTGATTGAAAACAAAATTGGTGCTTTCACTTCTTTGGGTTGACTTAGAGCCGGCAGAAAAATAACCATGATTAAATGCAGGAGACCACTTCTCTCTCAATCCATACAAAGTATTAAGCCATTTATTTTCTTGCGGATCAAACTTCTCAACCATCTCATGCCACAACACTTCAAATTCAAATGGCGAGTTCACTTTCCACATCAATTTGTTAAAATATTTATCCTTAAATTCTTGAATCCCCATCAAATATGAAATATTTTTCATTGCATTTCTCTCAATATGCCATTCACATAAACGATGACGAGTAGATTTAAAAACCTCTTCAACACCTTTAGCTATTGAAGCGACTTGATCGAGTAAAAATAGTTTTTGGTTCCTTATCTCCCATTGACTCCAAAAATGTTTCAAACAACCAAATAAAAGAATGATGATTTTCATCGGATAAAAATGCACATCCAAAAAAGTATTATTCCAGTGATTATTGATACCTACAAATGGTGCACATATCATATTGTATTTATTGGTGCGATATGTGGTGTCAAAAATCAACACATCTCCATAAATTTCATAATGCAATCTAGACATTTCGTCTCTCCAAAAGAAATTCATTAGTCGACCATCATCATCCGGTTGGATAACATAAAAGAAACTAGGATCTTCGGCTTGCATTCTTTTAAAATGGTTCAAAACAGATTGAGCATCCCCTCCACTAAACAAACTTCTTCTACGCTCTCGCATAAAATTATGATAATCTTGTTCCGTGAAGCCTACATTTTGAGCACCACCACTTTCATTAACCATATACCTAAAAGCTTTCTTAGCTTTTATACCAAGCATCTACCATGGAACCAAGAATACTTTTGCTAGACTTCGTTATCTTTCTAGTCGAAGATATCGAGTGTTTATGTGATTCCTCAACCATTTGATGATTATGTTCATCATCAAATAATGTTACTTCCCATATCTCATTAGTCACTTTGAAAATGATTCTAGCTTTACATCCACATCTATATTCTAATCTCTCTCTTTCTTTCCTCATCGAGGCCAATAACTCTAGATTTCCCTTCACATGAACAATTTAGTTCTTGACGAATCAATTTCCCGTTTTTATTATAATATTTTTTCCCTTCCTCACACCAAAGCCCTTTTTAAAAGCATACAAATTATATCTATTATATGCTTCATCTTCCGAATAAAACAACATTCCAGCAGTAAACACAAAGTCTTCATTCACATGATACACAAGTAGATGATGTAACACCTCCATTCTCATCTAAATAATAAAAATAAATTTAAAGTTTCATCATTTATATATTTGACATTAATTATAATATGTTAAGCAATAACAAATATATCATGAAAAATATAAATTTACTGTTTGAAGAGTCATATCCTTTACAATTAAAATCACAAACTTATCGTAAGGACCTTCAAAAAAATTCTCTACTTTCCTGCAATACAATATTAGACATTTATGTTAGAAATGCTTTCCTTGACACATCGGTGACATGAACATTGACAAAATACTCAAGACGATAGAAAATTTTAGAATGAGAAAGAGGGAGGGGCGAGTTAATATTTGAAATACGTTACACTTGCTATTCGATGCAAAGGAATTCCTTGAGGATAATCTTCGGTGAAACTTTGGTTCCATTCCTAGAAAGACTAGCAACGACAGGATGCAATTTTTTGTGAAGAGAACTTCAAAGAAAGATTGGAGAGAAAAGAATTACGACCAACCGACCTAATTCTTGTTTCTCTTCTCTTCAATTAGAAAGAACATGTAAGTTTTTTGCAGCCACCAAACCACCGGTTAGTCCCGCAATTTTTTGGCTGCAAGACAACTTTTCATGCCTTTTTTTTTTTTTTTTTTAGGGTTATTAGGTCGCAAGACAAATTTTATCAAGCTTTTTTTTTAAGTATTCCACGTCATATTATTCTTAAAGCCACATGTACTAAAAAATTTAATGACATGGCAGTTGAGGTTTATAAAAGATGGAGTAACTTATCATCTGCCACTAGTTACTCTTGGAGTATTATAAAATTTCTCCTGCTATGCAGGGGTTCTTTTTTTTTTTTTTTAAAAAAATCTCATCCTAATTACATTTTTTTACTGCATTTGATTTAGAGTCATTACAAATAATGTAAAAAATGCAGTAAAAATGTAATTAGGATGAAAGGGTTTTTTTTTTTTTTTTTAATGGTCATGCCAATAGTCTTAGGCTGGTATGTGAGCTGGGGCAGTAAAGCCCAAATCATGGTGATTCGTTCTGTGTTTGATGACAAATAAAAAATATGGGCTTTGCCAATAATGAACGGATCCTTTGCTGTCAAGTACAACAATGACCATAAAAGAAATGAAAAGGGAGATAACGTGGCTCAAGCTTCCATCTTTTTAACAGACAGGAGAGCTCAGGCTTGGCAAACTTACCAGTGAATTAGAAGAAGAAAAAGACAAAAAAAAAAAAAAAAAAAAAAAAAGAAAAGACAAAGTCTAACGAAATTATGCAAAAAATTAATAAGACAAAGACAGAAGTAGTCCTATAGCAAGGAGACAAGCTAAAGCAAGAGTACGACTGCGCAGCACGTGATTCATCAGTCATTTCATCAATCTGGGCGGGTGTACCGGGCCGGGCGCGTCAGTACCAAGTATACATATCATTCAGCTCGTCATAAATCTTGAAATCTACGAAGACTGGTTGGGTGCATGCGCCCTCGGAGAGCAATTCTGCATTAGTTGTTTGTTAAATACACAAGCCAAACTGTAGAAAGCAAACAATTTGGAGGTCAATGGATATAATATTATTGGATCCATTGACCAATCCATCCTACACGGATCATTGGATGGATTGGGATCTACAAGTGGTTGCTCCTATATAGCAATTTTATAAGATTAAAACTTTTTTTTCCCTCATATATATGTATATATATATAGACGCACACATATGACAACTACTCTCTTTTTTTTTCTTTTTTCTTTTTTTTATTCACTCCAAATACATCGTGACTGAATGATGAGGCTTGGCAAGTGACAACGGGAACCATGATGAGCTTGACAGAGGATAGTGACTCAATAAAGGAATTTGGAAGTTGGGTGGTCCATGAGAACTTTGCACTGCGTACACAAGAACTCATCATCTTATCTTTAAAATGTTTTACTTGGTTTAGGTAGGTTGCTGGTTGTTCCGTTGTCCCCTTTTCATTTTCAGTTTTCCTCTCATTAAATATCATCACGTCTCAAAAAAAAAAAAAAAAAAATTAGTTTTAAAATATATGAAAATTGATTCCAAAACATTATTATTGTTGAATTAAAATAATAATAATAATAATAATATCATGCTTGCTGGCAATCTTAAGTGTCCTATTTATTTTCCCATATTAGCCACGTTTCACGTTTCCGATTGGGAAACCCTGACACCTTTTTCTTACGTATGTGTCTCACCAGCCCACTTGCATCATTGTTATCATTAGTAGGTAAACGTGGTGTTTACCTTTTCTTTCTTTAAATAGGGATATTCCAGCTATTTTTTTTATATTTGTATAATCAAAGATTGATTATTCATATTAAAAAAAAGCTTTAAGATTTTTTTTTTTTAATTTGAAATTTAAATTCTTGTAGATTTAAAAAGATAGCATCTCCTTAATTATTTCTCTAAAAAAAATTAAGATTAACCAAATTCTAGATTTGTTTATATTTTTAATTTTTTTATTATAACGATGGTATTAAATTTGGCTTAATTCTCTCATTTCAAGGCCAAATATCTCATTTATAACTAATTATTTTTTCAAATTTAAGAAAACTAGTTTGATTATTATTAGGAAGATATATTTTCTTCCTTCATTTTTCAAATTCAAAATTTGAAATTAACATCTAAATATTCTACTTGAACGTACACAAAGAAAAAAAATTCATTCACCATTTAATCCAATAATTAAACAGGCTTGAATTTTAAGGTGGTAATTACCGATTACCTTTTAGAAGCTAGAAATATCTCATTTAAAAAATTGAAGGGAGTGGGGTAATGGTGTTGTCAGTTGTCAAGATCCAAAAGTACCGAACGAAGGGAAACTGAAAAACAGATGGCAACTCACGGTGAGCGGTCCACAAAATTACCTTTGTCCGATTGCAAGTCAGCAACACTGACACGGCCTTTCCACAATTACCTAGAGATCGTTCCCACCCCTTTTGGCCTTTGCTGCGAAAAAAAACGTTACATACCTCTGTTACATCTTTCCCCGCTCGGCCGGTCTCTTCCTTTTCTTTATGTCTCAGTACTTTCTTCAAACACTGGATATTCAAGTATAGAAACACCATAAAAATAGAGATGCTTCTCAGCCATTTGCAGAGCTCACAACCGTGGATTTTACCACCTCGAATTCCCAGACTGAATCACAGTTCTTCTTCTTCTTCACGAAAGAGGTCATTACTTATTCATCTTCATTCTTTATATGTATGCGCACATTCTTTTGAGTCGATGTATGTAGCATTTTAAACTTATTTTTGGAGTCAAGACGCCGTTTTTTTTTAAAAAAAAGTGGGCTTCATTAATGGAGATGACTAAATACATAAAGATTTTTTTCGAGAAAAATGCTGGACATTAATTTCCTAGTTGTGGAGAATTCTTTGGGTTTATTTGATTTGCTTGGATGCCAAATACGCTGTAAGATAGGAGTCTTTTTGAGAATGTTTTCTAGCATATTAAAAGACGCCAATAGTGGTCTCCTGTATTCTCTGCTGCTCTGGTCAAGCAGAATTTTGGCCGTTAATCATTTAAAGTTGATGCTTTTAATATGCTTTGTTACACAACAGACGGAAAGTGTTACGCTAAAATTCACTTGTTGCTGGTATTTTGTTTTTTATAGGATGCTATCAACAACTTCACATTGACATTGTATTTTAACAGGAAATCATTGTCATGCCAATTTTGGTGGATGAAGTCTTCAGCTTTTGGTGCATGTAATTTTCGATTATGTAGTACTCGAGGTGAGTTAGAAGCAGTAACACTCGACCACATGTACCAAAGGTCGTAACTGTAGCTACAGTGGGGGGGGTTTTGTTTTATCATCTCTTTGTTTAACAATGATATAATTTTTTGCTTATTGCTTGTAACTTCTGATGCAATAAGTTTCCTACCATTTCATTGCCTCAAATCAAAGAAAATGCCATATCTGTATACATCATTTTGCTGTTCATCATTGTTGCTTGTTTTCTCTATAAACTCGTCAGGTTCCACATATGTCCATATTTCCTATTTTGCAGGCTTCTTTTTTGGGCGTATTTGATCCTGAACAGAAAATAGTAGGGTTTGGGAAGCAGATTCGTTCATCTATGATTGCTTTTGTCTGAGTTCTCATAGCATTATTACTCGCAAGTCATTTTAGATCTGTTTTGACATTAATTTTTTGTGTCATTTGTTACCATCATCCTTATGGTTTTGATGCTTTGCCCATACTCACATAATGAATTTTAAATGAACTGCGACAACATTTTATCTAAAATGTTACATTTTCAGGGCATTGGAAAGCCAATAATCAAAGCACATGGCATAAGTTTGATGTTGTGGTCCATACAGATATTCCAGATGTTTCGCATCCTGAGTTCTTGAGTATTCGGCCAAATAGTAGCTCTGAGGTAAGCATTAAGTGAAAGAACCTAAATGTGGAAAAATTTTAAAAAACAGATACACTGTAAGTAATGGGATTTATTGATTGCTAAAAGAAAGTAATGGGGATTTATAACATGCTTCCTTTTCCATTTGTGATGTTTTCTCAACGAGAAAATAAAAGAACTATTTGGTTGTATTGATCTTTATTCTAATTGGCGTGTACAAATTTACATATTTGTTTCATAGCTTTCTCTTTTACCATATATCTGGTACTGAAAGAAAAGTGATCTAAGTTGATATATGAGATTACTGCTTAGCTTGTAGTGGATAAGTAAATGTGTTTGTTTGTTTTAGTTTGTCATATTTATGTTGATGTGATGTACTGTGTGTGCAGGATTGCCAAGCAAAACTTACAATTGGATCAATTGCTATGTGTTGCTTATTGACACAGTTAAATTCTGCAAATACATTGATAAAGATTGTCCGAGACTTGCTTTCCTCCTTGGTTGGGACTTTTGGAGCTACAAACTCCCCGTTTGCTTGTATATCTGATTCCCTGAACAAACCAACACCTCTGCGGTTGGATGTGTCCTTGCCCTCATTTCAAGATATTAAGTGGAGCTTATCACGCTTACTTTATTTGTTCAACATGCAACTTGAAAGAAATGTTGCTACGTAAGTGAATGGATAGATTTCTTTGTTCCAATTCATCTGCCTCTTATTTTTCTACCAACTGGTTCACGATAATATTTGTGTGTTACGAAGTTGAAATCTTGGTAGTTCATTTTTAACTGAAATCCCTTGTGTTTTGAGGGATCAGAAGATAAGATTTCATCAAGACATTATGATAATAAATTGAAGTAGATGTAGTTAAGGAAAAACAAATCATGTATGTTAGTTCTCCTATAATACAGAAGTAGAGATCTAATTGTGTGCATTCCAATCATGTTTATATAATCAAATGGTCTGTCCACCACCTATTATGGCAAGAAGTTTTTCTATGGTTTTATCTGTCAATTATATGCACTTAAATCCAACTGTCTGCATGAGGAGTTTTGTGATAAACTTGGCTGCTTGGGACGCAATGCCAATCTTTTAGGGTTTAATAATGGGTCAGTACTTGATGTCTGAGATGGATATTTAAACAAGTAGTGTAGGTTTTGCAAATGAGTTCTAGGTTTTGTAAATAAGAAATTTAAGCGCCTCAAAGCTTTAGCATCACTGATTGGGTTATATTGGGCAAGTTGTGGTTGTCAGCATGTAAAAAGTAATGTGGGCCCATGCTTTTTTCTCTGTTTGCTTCATGAATTTCAGTACGATATCTCCTTGTTAATTGATCAATTTTCTGTAAATGTGTTGTAGGTCCTTTGTGGTGCTACTTGTGGCTTGCTTCTCATTTGTTGTCATTGGAGGTTTCCTGTTTTTCAAGTTCAGGTAACCTACCAACTAGCCTCTTTGGAGAATACACCGACAAGGCAAAGTTTTGCTACTTTTCTGATGGAAAATGGAACTGTTTTGCTTCATGCATGTCTGTACCATGCCTCAATATTTTCGTTTCTAGTGCCTCTTGGTTTGGAACTTTCGCAAGACTGCATTAACTTATTTGCCATGATCCTTTGGTTTGTGCAGATTGGAGGGATTGTCGGGAAAAATAAAATGCATCACATGGATAAAACCATTGCCCATCTTTTTATTTGAGGATCTCTGAACATTTTATTCATTAGGTTGTAGAGTTTAAACCAACAAGCTTTTTAATTTACAGATCATCTGTATGCCTATGATGGAGGTCAGAACCTTTTTAACAGAAGTCCCATTATCCTCAGGCTTATTATAGTTACAGCCATTGTGATGCAGGACAGCTTAGAGGGCTGTTCTGGATCTGAGTTTCGAGGCTGTTTAGGGCTGCTTAGGTTTGTATTAATGTAGATTTCTGCTTGGAGTAATAGAACTATGACGGTCATAATAATAGGGTTTCTAGGAGTCACACCTAGAGGACAGGAAAACCTAATTTTCAAACCTAGGGTTCTTAGGTGTCACACCTAAGGAGATTGAGTCACACAATCAAAAGCAAATTGCTGAAAATTATTTGATATTATTGTATCCTGAATATTGAAAGACTACATACTATATTTATAGAGCTGTAGAATTCCAAATCCAATTAGGACAAGGACGCCTAAATCTCTAACATAACTATTCCTAATTAGACTAGAAAAACCTATACTATTATAGGAAAACTTAATAACTTTAGGACTATTAAAATACTCAAACAGAAATACTATAATTTCAAATTTTCCAACAGATCTGAAATTACTAAAATACTCTTATCGATTATTCAAGTTCCCAACTAAGCTTTCCATCATTAGCCGTGTTCCAAATCAGTGCTTGAGCATTGGAGTTATTCTTACAACGTTTTCTAAAGACCTTTGGGGGCTGCTGCCAACGTGCCCCTTCACATTACCTCCACTTGTTCATGTTATCACCCTTTTTTGTGTGGATTTTTTATGAAGATGTCCATGGCAAAGTTAAGAACACAAGACTAACCGATTGTCATAGAACTTATATTTGACTGTATCACAAGGTAACTGATATTTAAAAGCACAAGATATCATATTTATGACTACGCTTTTAGACTGTTGGTCGACGGACTTTCGGTGCCGTCTTGTCCTTTTCTTCTATGTGCTTTATTTACAAGTTCATCAACATTGGAGAAAAATATGCAAATGTTGCATAAAAAAGTTCCATCTATTGATGTCTCCATCCTGTATTTTGTCTATTTGAAACAGACATTGGAGAGGGTCTCTTCAGGTTTGATCTGGCTATACCACACCATCATTAACTAGATGTAAAGTTGCCATTTTATAAGCTGAAAATCTTCTATGTGAATCTTTTTTGTAAAATCCTTTCCCCTTTATCAATGCCAATTTGTTCTCTCTTCATAAAGGAGCTTGCTCTAGCTGTGTTCGGATGCTTATTTGGTTCTTCTCTTAATTGACTATGGCTGCATCTAGTGCTCTCGGTAGTTTGCTAATGTGGGCTTGTGCTATGTTTAACAATACAGGGCTCGTCAGTCTCTGGAGGACTGCTTCTGGGAAGCTTGGGCATGTCTTTGTTCATCTTCTACTCATTTAAGGGTGCGTTGAAGAGGTGAATGCTTACAGGAGTGATTATTAAGGGTGTTTTATTTCTCAGGATGTTTGGTTGCGTAGCATGTTAAAGGTTGCATTGTTAGTAATGAGAAAGAGAAAGGGTTAAAAGTTATCTGTGGTTTGGAAAAAGTATAAAAAGCTGTTTTGATGTGTTTTTCGAGTAGAGATAATAAGAAAGAGAAAGGGTTAAAAGTTATCTGTGGTTTGGAAAAAGTATAAAAAGCTGTTTTGATGTGTTTTTCGAGTAGAGATTTAATAGAGATGAAAAAATTTATTTAAATTTTGGGGGTTGGGGGTGTGGGGGAGGTTGTGATTTGCTCTTAACAGTTGTTACACTACCTCCCAATGCCAGCCATACATGATTAATAGTTGCCTTTGTAATTTCGCATTGCCTAACCCCATAGTTGAACTTGGGTTTGGAATTTCTCATACTTTATTCACTCGAAAAAATTTTCCAGTAGTTTCAGCATTGTTAATATACACTTCTTGAGTCTAAAGAACTTCCTTATATATGGAACTGCAGCAAAAAACACGAGTTGAACGTGTTATTGGCTTTGTTCTTGCTATATGGGGTATATTGTTCTACTCTCGGCTACTGAGCACAATGACAGAACAGTTCAGGGTATGCTATTGGAACTGGAACTACTTACTGATGCTTACTTGTATTAAGTTGCTTTCTTAAGACTGTTACTTGGACAGAATAACATGCAAAGACTCAGGGACGGGGCACAAATGCAAGTTCTTGAGACAGATCATATCATTATTTGTGGAGTTAACAGTCATCTGACTTTCATACTAAAGCAGCTTAACAAGTACCATGAGTTTGCTGTTCGCTTAGGTACTGCAACAGCTAGGTATTTAATACTCATCTGCCAGCACAGTTTCTGTTCCAGTATTGTGTGCAATGTTTACTTTTGATTTATGTTTCGTATGTCTTTACAGGAGGCAGAGAATTCTTCTTATGTCTGATCTCCCAAGGAAGCAGATGGACAAGCTAGCTGACAATATTGCCAAAGATCTTAGCCATATTGATGTCCTCACTAAAAGGTGTGGTATTAAGTAAATCCTCGTTGCTAATTGCATTAGGAATTCTGGAATATCCCTCCTCATCTTGTTCTTTGCTTTCCCTGGGACTTTGCCAAGAGTGAGTTCATTCGACATCAATGTCCTTTGGTTGTAACAGTTTTGTATTTGGTGATAATTTAATTTGGATGCTAATATTTCATGTTGTATGAATTTCTTTCTCCTTATAAGGCACATCAAGCATCTACAAGGACATTTCTCTCTACAACTTTCTTCATGTTTAGAATTAACTATAAAATAATTTTATGAATTCAAACGACCAGAACATATGCAATATGGTTGAAATTTGACCACCTATCCATGATTTTTTTTGCTTCTGTTTTCACATTTCCAGCTCCTTATTTGTGCAGTTGCAGCCTTAGCCTAACAAAATCATTTGAAAGAGCTGCAGCTGACAAGGCACGTGCCATAATTATACTGCCAACAAAAGGAGATCGGTAAGGGCTTCAAAGCAACATTTGTAGGATTATCTAATTGTATTAATTGATGTGTTAGCATATATGTCACCAAAAAACATGTTATTTTGTCGAAACCATCTTGTAGTACATGGACAACTACCAGAATTGCTTTGTTATCGATAGGATATTAGCAGCATGGTAGATGTCTTTTTATGCTTAACTATTAACCTGCAAGTATTGTGAATTATATATTTGGATTTTGGTCCAAATATTATATTTCAAACTTCTAATGATGAGCCATGATACCTTGATTCTTTGTAGTTATTATGACTGGTAGGGTTTCATACCTTAATTACATTGTTAGAGAAGGAGTGCTATCCCTAAGTGTACTTGTGAAAATCGGTGGCGATGGGCCCTTGCTATATGTGCTAAACTTTTCTGTACAGCATTGAATTTGTATCAAATGATTGTCACAGTCAGTCGTAGATGAACTACGCTCAAGATTTGTAGTTAATATATTAGACACCAAGATACGTCCCTGGATTTTGCCCCCATGCAAAAAAGATACTTACAAAGAGTATGGTCATTAACAACTAAGAAATTACGAAGATGCTACATTTGACAGAATACCGTTTTGTTCGCTTTTTCAGTCATTATTACTTTTGCATTTTACTACCTTTACTGTCATAATTTAATGCACTGGTCAACTGCTTCCGGATTAGGTACATGACATAGCTTGAATTGTATTCCCCGCTGTCTCATTGTGTGCCTTCTCATCTTGCATTTGGCCTTTGTCAGCTTGCTATCAATTCCAATGATTTTAATTTGCGTGCACCTGAAATCATGAACATGAAGAATTTGTTGAGGTGGTTGGTCAATGAGGACTCTACTCGACCTAGAAAAGTTTAGCTCATATAGGGGTTTATGAGAATATGGGGAAGGATAGAAGGATGTTGGATATAATGGCCTCTGACTTGTAAGAACAATAGAACTGACTGTTACAAGCCCCATTTTTGTGAATCTGAATTTTGCTTCTTTTCTTATTGAACAAATCATCAATGTTTTCACTTTACCGTACTAAGGATTTTATGGCAGAAGCAAGACTAGAAAAAACCAGCACTGTTGATTTTAGATCTTTGATTGATTAGGTATGAAATCGATACCAATGCATTTCTCTCTGTGCTAGCCCTCCAACCTCTGACAAACATGGCTGCTGTTCCCACCATTGTTGAGGTATGTTAGTTTTTTTTTTTTAATTACTTAATGAAGTTTCTTTTGCATAATTTAATTGCATGGGTTTTGTTTTGATATACAGGTTTCAAACGCCAATACATGTGAGCTTTTAAAATCAATATCAGGAGTGAAAGTGGAGCCGGTGGAAATTGTTACATCCAAATTATTGGTTCAATGTTCTCGACATAGGGGGCTTATAAAGATCTACAGACACTTGCTTAATTATCGAAGTACTGTATGAATTTCCCTTACAGAATCACAGCTACCAGTATTGTCTGTAAGAGACAGATGGAGGGTTTAAGTTTCTTTTTAGGTTAATATGCTATTTCCCATTGAAAGAAAGTTCCACTGACAAATTCCATTGTCCAAAGAAAAAAAGAAAATTCCAGTCCAAACACGATCAGTTTTGGTTTTAACTAGGATGGTTCTATACAATTTTGGATTAATCCTTGGGCTAGTGAAACAAATCCCATTTAATACTCCTAGAAGTTGAATTAGTTGTAGTAGTGACACTTTTAACTTCTTTTATTTTATAAAATCTTTAAAGTCTTGCATCTTTTCCACTGCCCTTTTTTGTATTTGTACAGAAAACACTAATCAGCATCATGTTTACTCATTGCAGAAAATGTATTTAACCTTTTCAGTTTCCCTGTTCTAGCTGGAACTAAGTACAGGCAACTAAGACGTGGATTTCAAGAGGTAATGCCATCTGATGAACAGTTTCAGCTAGATGAGAACTTAAATGCGATCTGCTAAGTTCGATATTTTTCTTCTTCAGGTAGTGGTTTGTGGTCTCTACAGGGATGGGAATATATACTTCCACCCGAATGATGATGAGATCCTGCAGCAAACTGACAAAGTATGTGGTTATTTTGGATTTCTGAACTTGCATACATGATCCTTCAGCTCGCACATTTAGGATCCAAACTTTAAGATGCAATCCAGTGAAACTTCTAATTTCTACATGAAAGCATAGAGTGGAACTTGAAATTCCAACCAGTTTAGCCATCTGAACAGTTTGATCTTTTCAGTAAGACCCAGATTACCAAGTACGGCTTTTTAAAAGATTTCTCCCTACAAGTAAATGGCTGAAGTGGAAGTGCTACTCAGAAAACTTCAGAATGATTAATGGATATTGTTGCAAGTGGGAAATCATATATATGTCTTGTGGTTTATTAATTTCTAGGTGTGCATTGTTGTTTTTATTGATAATTTTGAAGTATTCGAATCCTGTAGATCCAATCAACAACCTGCTAATACAAGGGGAAAAAATTAGTTTCAAGTAACATGCCACAGCAATAGTATGCACCCAGGATAAAACCAAGTGGTTCCAAATTTGACTAAGAATGAGTGTGCATATGAGCCCTCAACCTTGCATGTCATTGAGTTGATTGATTGTGGCTGCAAATAGTGTTGCTGCCATTTCTAATTGATGATTGAGTGTTTAAAACTTGCAGTCAAATTGTTGCCTGTAGTTCAATGGATTTAACTGTATTTGTATCAGTCAATGGACAGATGATAGCTATAAATTAAACCTTTAAGCGTCATTAAGTGGAAGTCAATCCTGCAGTATGGTTCGATGGATGATGCAATTAACTCTGTTCAAAGAAAATATATTTTGCGCTTTAGGCTGTATAATTACTATAAATGAGAGCAAGTTTCTTTGTGTGACTGTGTCATTTTGAACCATCGCTGGCTGCATATAATTGTGTGGTTGCCCGGAAAAGATATTTTGCACTTTCAGCTGTATAATTACTATAAATTAGAGCAATTTCCAGTGTGTGAAGGTCACTGTCTGTCATTTTGAACCATCGCTGGCTGCATATAATTGCATGGTTGCCCGGTTTACCCGTTTTTATTTCATGTTTTAAGTATTTGAATATCAATGGTTTTATGTTCTGCAGTATATCCTATATGTCATTCCATCATGTTGTCTTAAGTGGTTATGTTATCTCATCGTCAACTTCATTAAATAAAGTATAGATGGCTATTTCTTTACATGAAAAGATATGTTTGCTCAGCAATATATCATTTGAAATATGTCTGCTTCACTGATTTTGTTGGGTTGATTACATTTCCTTCTTGATCTTATTTATGTGTTCTCTAATTTGTTTGCTTTTGCTACATAGATCTTGTTCATTGGTCCAGTTCATGGTAAAAGGAGCCCACAAATTGCATATTCTAGTGTCTTCAAAGAAGGAGATGCCTTTTTTCAAAATCTTGAAGTTCTGGAAGATAACAGCGATAATTTAAATTTTGCTATAGAATTGAAAAAAACACGACTTGAAAATACTGTAAAACGTCCCAACAGATCAGGGTCAAAGGTATATTTTCCTAGAGATAATTGCTCAATTAACAGTTCACTTTTGGATCATATTTGTTACTTTGTATGATTGTTTTGCTTGTTCCTGCAGGCATCAGACTGGAGCCTAGGACCAAAAGAACACATTCTTTTTCTTGGATGGCGCCCAGATATTGTAGAAATGATACATGAGTATGATAATTATCTTGGGCCTGGGAGTGTATTGGTATGCTGCTATATAATTTAGGGTTTTTAACTTGTTTATTTAAATTCAAGGTCTTAAAATTAAATTACACATAAGCATGAGTACATGCATGATGTAGATCTGCATCTAATCAGATATGGTTTAGGTACAACATATAAACAATTGTTGTTGATATTAAGGCAGTCAATGATCCAGGATATATATTCCATTGAGCAATTGATTAGTAAATTGAGAAATTTATTCTGAAGAATAGAGGAATCTAAAGAATATATTCACTTTGAAAGTAGCATCAGATATACATATTGAATCGGAGATGATTTAGTCAACTGTATTGGAGATAAATTTAAATGTTTTGGAATTGTTATTTGCAGAATGCTTCTGTAGAAATGTACCATTATCTGTATCTCCTTTGTTTAGCACTTCTAAGTCCACAAAAGGGTGTATATTTGTATCTTTTTTGTCACTAAAACCAGATTGTCACCAAGAGGGTTCCTTTGTGGCACTTTTCCCATTTTCTGCCCACAAAGGATTTTATCACAAGCATTACTATCAATTTGCATTTCTTGCTGAATAAGACTGAAACTGCTCGTTTGTTGTCATTCCCATTGAAAACTTCTCACAATCGAAACAAAACTTTCTATGCCATGCTTCTCCTCTTCTTTGTCTTCTTCTTGTTGGGTCTCCTGGCATTTAGTGTTTGATTATCTATTAGAAATTTAATTCTGTCATTCCCCATCGCTTATAATTTTTGAAGCTTGATAGAACCAAACTTAATGTTCACACATGACATACGTTAAGCTTCTAGATCAAACATGTTGATCTTTAGTTTACATTCACCACCTTTGCAAATGCATGCAGGAGATATTATCAGATGTGCCATTAGATGAGAGGAAGAGGACCAGCAGCATTGCTAGTCAAAGAAAACTCAATAACGTCCAGGTTTCGCATAGGGTACTATCTAATTCAGCCAAACGGAAATCAGACATTTTATGCCAGTTTGTTCATGTTATTGTTCTTGGAAACCTTCTTCTCTATGGATCTAATGCTTACTGATTTTTCGAATATTGCAGATTGGAAACCCCATGAATTTTGATGATTTACAGGAAACCATATTGGATATTCAGAATTCTTTCAATAAAAATGAAGATATTTCCTTTACAATCGTTGTAATATCTGATAGAGAGTGGCTTCTTGGAGGTAAGAACATGTGTCTTGGAGGTAACAATATGTGAGGCTTTATTTGGTTGAAGTGCGTTGCAGTAATTGTTCTCTTTCTTCAGAGCCATCCAGGGCAGACAAGCAATCTGTTTTCTCTCTTCTTCTTGCTGAAAATATCTGCAACAAACTTGGAGTGAAGGTGAACATGGTTTTGATTTCTGAAGATTAGTTCCAGATTTTTTAATCCAAGAATTCTAGTCATAATGAATTGCTTTATCTTTTTGAGAAATGATAGTCAACTCATCAATGTAATAAACAACTGTTCTGCAGGTACAAAATCTAGTTGCAGAGATTGTTGACTCAAAATTAGGCAAACAAGTAATCCTATAACAGACTTATTCAGTTTTGTGTCAAGAACACTGTTGTTTTGTATGGGTATTTATTCAGCTCGTGCTATTTCTTCAGATGACAAAAATCAAGCCATCTCTGACTTATATTGCAGCAGAGGAACTAATGAGCCTGGTGATAGCTCAAGGTCTTGAATCATTGTACTCTACTTGTTGTGATACTCTTCCATTATGACCATGTTCAAATTGAAGAGTCATTATTTGTTTACTTAACAGTGGCAGAGAACAGTGAACTGAATGAGGTGTGGAAAGACATTCTGAATGCAGAGGGTGATGAAATATATGTGAAGGTAAATTCCTCGTCCTTGTATTGTATTTTGGGGTCAAGCATCCTTCATGACAAGCCTACTTAGGTGGGTAAAGGATGACTCAGTTGTGGAGTGAGACTTCGGACTGCTCTTTTCTCTTTCTGTGAGGAATCAGATTTCATGCTATCCACTACTGACTGCTATCATTTCATTGAGAGACTGTTTGTCTTTTTTTTTTTTTTTCATTGGGTGATGGACTCCACTCTGTGGAATTAGTATCGAGTTTATTTAATACCAACACATTTTGCACATTTTAGCTGCATTATCTGTGTTTCTCTGGCAGGACATTAGCCTCTACATGAAGGAGGGGAGAATCCTTCTTTCACAGAGCTCTCTGAAAGGGCATATTTGCGGCGAGAGGTTGCTATAGGCTATGTGAAAGATAATAGAAAGGTATAGATGAGTAAGAAGGTATCTTAGCATTTGGTTTAGGTTTAGCAAATTTGGTCTGGATCTCATTAACCTTAATTTTGCAGGTTATCAATCCAAATTTCAAATCAGAACCCCTTTCCCTGTCTTTGACAGACTCATTAATCGTTATATCTGAGCTTGAAGGAGAACAACCTATCGTTTTGTAAAATGTGTACTTTTATTCATCATCTGCCTTTGCTCCCTGTATCATTTTTTTCCATAGTTGCAGGGCATCTGTTTCTGGCAAATGCGGATATTGCCTTACAAGCAGAAACTGTGTCAAAATTATCCCAAATAAAAGAAAAATGATGAAAGATAGGATTAATGGTAGTTTGCCTAAAGAATGGCTATCTAAAACAGACTCATGCAATACGTGAGTAACATGGAGGGAAAAAAAAAAAACATTCCCTCGTCCTGCCCCAGGGAGGTTGACACAGGCATTATGCAGGTTGAAAACTTTCAAATTGGTTCGTAACCAGAATTTGGATAATTATTTTAGGTGTATATCTGATAAGAAATTTTTTGCAAGGATGGTATTTGTAGTGACCATGACATGAGACCAAAATTTTGCGGTAGCTCACAAGCATATTTAATTAGCCACCCGAAAGCATCGCTTGTTAGCCACCCGAAAGCATCGCTTTTTAGCCACACGAAAGCATCCAGTGCTTTGCATCTTAAAAGACTTATTTTTTCCTTATTATTAGGGTTAATAGTCTTACCTATCTTTCTTTGTATAATGGTTCAAGTTTTTAATATATTTTTATATTTTAAAACAATCTTATTATGTTTATGTTATTTTACATAATTTCTAATATATTATTCTAGTTAATTTTTTGGTCAAATCATCAAAAATTCACCATATAATTTGCACATAGCATGTTTTTTAATAAAAATATTTTTCAAAAGTAAACTCATAAAATAACTTGATTTGCGCATGAGAGATATTTTCGTTAAAAAAAAAATTATATATATATATATATCATGTTTAAGTCATGTGGTCAAATTTAGGTGGTTTTGCTAGAAAATTAATTGAAAAAATAGATTAGAAACTAATTAAAATAGCATGGATATAATAAGATCGTTTTAAGATATAAAAATATATTAGAAATGAGAGCTATTATATAAGGACATGTGAGATTATTAATCCTTAATATTAACTTGGTAGGTTTCTCTCTCTCTCTTTTGTGTTTTATCATTCATGTTAATGCATTCGCATATTTCATCTATTGACTTTGTTTGTTGTCGAAAAATAGTTAGCTCTTATAAAATAATGAATGTCCATCTACTTTTCATATCCCCACTACTCATAATCCTTAATGTGATTCAATTCACCATTCAATATGAGAAATTGAAAGGGTGATGCAATTGATGTACTTTTAATTATTCATAGTTACTTCCAATTCTCATCTCAATTTTGAGACCTATAAATAGGCTTTATTGTTCATTTGTTGATGTACAAGTTTTTAGAGAGATTAAGAGAATAACTTGAAGTTTTCTCACTTGTATTCACTTTATAGTGAATTCTTCTTCTTGTCATCCTTCCTTTAAATTTCATATATCTTTTATTTTTTACAACATTAGCACATTAATAATTATAGTTAATATGTAAATCCAATTTTTAATTATACAATTCTCCACTAATGGATTTTATTTATGATGCCCACACTCATCCGGATATATCTTTATTTGATAAATTTTAAAACACTTAAGGAGTAATTGTAATCCCCATAAAAACCCTTATCCGTAACGCGACGTGTATTAGAATAATTCTATATATATGTATATTAAGAGTAAGTATAATTCTCATTTCATCATGAGAAATTAATGCTTGAAATATGTGATTTATGTTAAATTAAAGTTATTGTGCTTAAGATTAATGGTTTAATTATTAAAGAAATCAAATATGCAAAATCGGTGTTTTAAGGATATATTACTGCCTGAGTTTTGTGTGAATTATTTGAGGACTTTAGGGTAATTTTTGGGTCAACCTTAAATAATAAAAATTGTTCATCTATGTGTTGAATAGGCCTGTATAAAATTTTATAATATTTGGACCTATACATTAAGAGTTATACTAATTATAGTGAGGGTTGTTTCGAAATGCATTCTGCTGGAATTTTAGGAGAAGAATCGCTCGAATCTTGTGAGATTTATTTGATGCTCGTTAGATTGGTTTTTGAGCAAAACTTAAAGAATAAAAGTTTTTTTTTCTATGTGTGTACTAGCTTTCTATAAAATTTCATAATTTTTTGATACATATAGAAAGACTTATGCACATTTTAGTATAGATGAGTTAGGAGGTAACACTGCTGAAATTTTGGAGAAAAAGAAATTTCGAATTTTAAAAATGAAAATTTCTGAATTTTTTATGAAAGAAATTATGTCTAATTACATGAACCCATGCTTATTAATATGTTTATTTAGCCTAAGTTTTCTTTAGCTACCTAAGCACTTGAATTAAATGCTTGGAAGCCAAATCATCACCTTTGACTTTCAAAACATGCTAGCTTTGCCTTCCAAGCTTCCTCCACTTTACATTTGGCTTAGTTAAATTTTAACACTTATGATATAAATAAATGAGAGGATAAAAGGTGGGTATATAAGGGAAATAGAGGGTTAAATGGCTGCCATTTTTAGGCCAAAAACCGTAGCCATCCGAATTAAAAGAGAAGCCAAATTGAAGAGAGAAAAACAACAAAAAGAGAGAAAGAAAGAAAAGAGAAAGAGAAAGGGAAAAAGGAAAGAAAAAGAGCTAAAGAAATTCTAATCAAACCTAAAAGAGGTAAGTAGGTTTCATTTTTTTGGCTGATTAATGTCTTAAATTATTTTTTTAAGTTATTTTGTTAGTGTTTATTTCATGGGTTGTAATAATTTTCAATGATTATATGCTTGATGCTTGGGATAAATCTATGTATGGATGCCTTGTTGTGATGATTTATGATGTTATGATGTTTTAAAAAATGTCCAAGTATGTGGTGATAGGTTGGATTGAACTTGGACTAAATTTAAATGAACTAAAACATGTTTAAAGTTGGCTTTGAATGAACTAATAAATTAGTGTTGATAAGGAGTGAATTCTATCCGAATTTTGGGGTGTATGTTCAAGGATTTTAGATTGATTTTTAGGTGAAACTTAAAGCATAAAAGTTGTTCATCTATGTTTCAACTAACTTCTTGCAAAATTTCTGGGTCATTAGATTCGTGTACAAAGAGTTATACCCGATTTAGTATGAATAGCTCTAGACAAACTACTATTAGGCAGATTGCTCCCTAAGTTTCAAAACTTTGTAATTAATTATGTACTTAGTATTTAGACCTAATTTTTGGATATGTTATAAATAAATATGTCTAGTATCTAAAATAAAATGAGTAAGATTTAATTATGTTCTGAAATTAAAAAATTATTTACTCGATTAGGAGTTGCCCGGTAATAAATCTTAAAACAAAAAAAAATTAGACTTGGACAAAATTAATAGGTTTGGAATAAAATAAATAAGCTTGGACTAAATAAAATGGAATTAAATAGAGTCAATGGACCTAGGATAAAGTTAATGGGCTCGGATTAAAGTAAATGGACTTGGACTTTCTTTTAAATATTAATGAAACTAATGAACAATATTAATGAACGGAGATTATGTTCCCACTCGTGGGTATCGGGATTAGTATGTGAGCAATGGATAAATTTCAAATGTGGGTTGGACCGTGAGTATGGCATGAGAAAGAAGGGTTGGTACCCAAATTTGGTTGAATGTGATTAAATATGTCATCACGTGCATCATGTGCATAGTGGGTGGTTTAAAATAAGTCAATTGATCGAGAAATAGTTTATACATCTAGGTTTGATAACCTAACTGGAATAAATGAGTATTAGTAGTTCAAGTACTCTAGGCCGTGTGCCCGCACTATTAGATGATGGATTTCCGTTAATAGTAGTTACAATGAGGGATAATTTCGTTGTAACGGAAGATGATCCGAGGATCATCCGGATGAAATCAAGTCGTGTGCTTACACCGTTAGACGATGGATTTCCGCTAACAGCGAGTTACAACGAGGAATAATTCCGTTGTAGCGAGAAGGTGATCCGCGGACCACCCGGATGATAAATAGAGGAGATCGGCTAATACCTAAGGTACTCGAGATTAAAATTTATGAGTATGGTGGAAGTCAAAACAACATTGCATATCACGTGCATCACCCCGCTTACCGAGCTTCGGCTCACCTCGTTGTTATTTTTTTTATGTCTTGACAGAAAAAGGACAAGTTGGTAAGGATGCGGTCGGCTCCTCCTAACCGGCTCATGTGAGGCACCATATATTAGTTTTTATTTTGTTTGTAAATTTAGGGTATGGAGTTCGTGAGAAATTGAATATTGCTCGTAATGTTTTATTAATGTATTTAATTATGTCATGTAAATTTTATCTTAAGGAGTTATATATTTAATATACTCGTTAAAGTTCTAAGAATATCATAAGAAAACTACTTAGAGTTTAGGGTATGTCAACGTAATGCGCTTCGTCCAAGTACTCTACTGGGTAGTAGAAATATGACTGGGATGGGGGCGTTACAAGTAATTATCAATACTTATTTCATGATCTTTTGTGAAAAGAAAGGCGGATACAAAAATGAGAGAAAATCACATCCGAACAAGCCAAAAATAATAAAAAAAAACATTTCCACATATACTCAATTTATTATTATTATTATTATTTGTCTATCTCTTTACCATAAAGTAATTATTAATAGTTACTCTTAGAATATAATAAAAATTTCACCTTCATTCTAAATTTGAAGGAAAAGTTAGAATACTCCATAAATGAAAGATAAACATAAAAATATTTTCTTTATTTTTTCTAACGTTTGATTCACCTAAAAAAAACTTGATTGATGGATTATGCTTTCCAATTAAAGGAAACAAAAACTTAAAATAAGAGAGAATAACTTACTATTCTTATGATCTAAAATCCTATTCTTTGAAAATATTTTTGTCATTAAATCGTAAGGTGGATTCCACCACTAGTTAATTTTTATCTTTTGTGTATGCATATATGAAAAATGTTTTCTAGAAGAAACTTGTTTTACATGCCTTGAGACCTTAAAATTGCTTTAAAGATTCGCCAAAGATAAAAGAGTGAATTTGACAAGTACGGTTAATTTGAATGATGGTTAGCGAAAGACAATAAGCGATCTTGGTAGGCGAGTTAGTGAAACCTCGTTTTGAGGAAGCATAGCAAAGGAAAGTTTGGCAAACAACTAACAAGAGGACATTGGGAATTGTAAATAGGGCGAACAACTCGCGGTTAAAATCGAAAAATTGAATCGAATCGAAATACCTATTTTGGTTTGGTTTTTTATTTAAATTTATCAAAAAAACCGAACCAAAATTATAATATTTTTGGTTTTGGTTTCTAAAAAATTTAAATCGGTGTCAACCGAAAACCGAACATTTTATCTAATTTTATTTTATGTAAATAAAAATGAACTTTGAATTTATTAAAAATAAAATTAGCTCATAGTTTTTTATTGGACTTCTTAAACTTCAACCATAGCCCACAAGAGCCCACAAATTTTAAGCCCAAAAATCTCGTTCTATTAGGCATAACCCTAAAAAAAGAGAGAGTTAGTTTGTCTTTATTTATAAGCCAATCCTCATCCTTCAAAAGTGAAACCGACCGATGTGAGATATTGAAAAGGTAAGTTCATTAACACATAATCTCACATCAAAAGTAAATGATGTTTCAAGCCTTTGAAAGTCTATAAAGAAGCCGTGGGGAGGGGGTGGACTTGTGCATCTTGCGTCACTCTCTCTTAGTTTGCCCCGAGTAAGCCTTCGTGTTCTTAGCAAACCAAATAACAATTTTTGATGAATTTGGTTAATACTGAAAAATTAAAATTTAAAGCTGAAATATTTTGAAATTGAAATTTAACAACCGAGTTATAATTTGGTTTGGATTGGTTGTCATTTTATTGTGTTTAGTTCATCAAAAATCGAATCAAAATTGTTAGAAACCGACTCGAAAAACCATTTGCTCACTCCTAGTTGTAAGGTTGGACGGATAGCAACAAGATAAATTAATCACATGATATATAAGATAAGCAATTAATTATTCTAGCTAGTTATTCTCTTGTGTCTAAATGAGTTATTTTTATGACTAGTATAAATATGTAATGATTAATCTATAATTGAAATCAAATCAATCAATCGGTAATCAATATAAAATCATCTTTTTAATTACCTTAATTTTTAACCATTAGAATTAGTCACTAGTTTGGTTATTTCTAGCATAGATTTCACTAGATTATTTGCTCATGCTACGCCGTGGGTTGGATAAAATATATAAAATTATTTAAAAAAAATATTTCAGTTTGATAGTCCGTTTTATGGTGTGAATCTATAAAAATATATGAAATTAAACGCAAAAAAAATATTTATAATTTTTTAATAAAAAAATTTGTATTTAACTATTTCTTATTGGTGTTTTTCATAAATTTTTCTTCGTAAAAAAGGATTTATTCTTGATTTCTTGTTAATCTATGGGTTATTAACGAAAAAGAAAATTAAATAATTTTTTTTAAAATTTTTTTTTAGTATTTCATAAGATTGTATCGAAAAAAAAATAACAATTATTAAAAGCTAACATAGAATAGAACAAATATTTTTTTTAATTTTTATTTCATGTTGATGAGAATATTGATTTTTGAAACAAATGTGAATTTAATTTTTATATATTTATTTACAAAAGAATGAATAATATTAAAATAAATAAAAAATGTTAGTAAATATAATTTTAAATTAATTGGATGATAATTTAAAATGAAATGACAAATTAAAGTAGTAAATTTTAAATTATAAAAATAATTAACAAAAAACACTAAAACAAAATGGACCAAATCACAATACAATCAAAGTTTGAAATTAAAAAAAAAATTTATAGAAAAATTGAGGACCATATAATTTTAAATTAATTGGATGAGAATTTAAAAAAAAAGACAAATTAAATAAAAGTACATAAAAAATTTTTATAAAGCTTTAGTATTTCATAAGATTGTATCGAGAAAAAAATAATTATAAAAAATTCACATAAAATCGAACAAATAGTTTTTTTTATTTTTATTTAATGTTGATGAGAATATCGATTTTTGAAAAAAAATATGAATTTAATTTTTATATATTTATTTATAAAAGAATGAATAATATTAAAATAAATAAAAAATGTCATTAAATGTAATTTTAAATTAATTGGATGAGAATTGAAAAAAATGACGAATTAAAGTAATAAATTTTAAATAATAAAAATAATAAACAAAAAACACGAAATTAAAATGGGACCAAATTACAACACAATTAAAGTTTGAAATAAAAAAAATTATCTAGAAAATTTGAGGACCATATAATTTTAAATTAATTGGATGAGAATTTTTAAAAAGTGAGAAACTAAAGAAGTAAATTTTAAGTAATAAAAATAATTAATACAAAACACTAAAACAAAATGGGACAAAATAAAAATAAATTAAAGTTTAAAATTGAAAAAAAAATATAAAAAAATTGAGGATCAAAGTGTAAAAAAAGTCATAAATAATGAAAGGATTAAAGATTTATGAGTGTGTGTGAACAGTGAAATATAAGTGTGTTAATAGTATTTAAAACAGTAATCAGACGTTTTGTTTTAGTTTATTTTATAATTTATAATTATAATTACTTTTCCTTCCAATCCTTGATTGGAGCGAACTGGCCACAATCGTTTGGTCATTTGCCGTAGAAGTCCAAATAAAGTAAATAAGATTTTAACCACAACTGTAAAAGCTAAGGAGAAGAGACGGTGGAGGTTGGGTTGACTCTATAGCTTAGCTAGCCAATAGTGTTACTGAAGTCTCCCTATTAACAGGACAAGAATAATTTCGTTCATTGCCATCAAGAAAAATGTCACAATGACATATGGTTCTAATGGTTTTTGTCTAGCATTGTAAATTAAGAATTTGTAAATAAAAGAACAAGTTTTCATCAATTGTTAACTCAATATAAACAAACAATGCTTGAAGTAAATAAATTTGCCATCAACCCTTTGCATGCTATATAGATATTATCCCTTTTTTATTGCAGAAAAAAGAAACGTGAGATCGGTAAGTAGAGCAATACACCAAGAGTGTATTTAATAATTTATTGAAAAAAAAGAATTAGTGGAGCAAAATAATAATAATAATAATAATATAATACCTAAAGGTCGTTATCGTAAAACCCCCGTTAAGAAAAAGCAAAATTAAAAGCAGAAGGAAAGAAACCTCCAATTTGTCTTCGGTGAGTGAACAAAACTAAGCCAAAAAGAGAAGAAAAGAAAAGAGACATGGCCCATGGTGGATATGGCAAACGGAGGGTGGCCGAGCGCAAACCCCCTGTAGGTCGCCGTTCCAAAGGATTAGGCGTAGACAAAAGGCCTAAACAGAAGCCCAAATCCGTCTCTCTCAAGAACCAAATGCGCTCTATAGAGCGCATGCTCCGCAAGGTACTGCTTCTTCAATTTTCATTTTCAATTAGGGTTTTTCTTTTCTTTAATCAGTCAATTTTCCACGTGATTCTTAATTGATTAATATTTTTTATAATTTAAGAAACTTCCACCTGAAGTAAGAGAAGCCCAAGAGAAAAGGTTAGAGGAATTGAAGAAGCAACAAGAAATTCATACTCGTTTGGCTCTTGAACGCAAAATTTTCTTGCGTGATAGGAAGATTAAGTTTTTTGGTAATTTCATCCTCTTTTTCAATGAAATAAATTTTTCTCAAGCTGAATCTTCTAAGTTAATCTCCTTTATTTTGTTCAGAGAGAAGAAAGATAGAAAGAAGAATACGGCGTCTGGAGAAACTGCACCGCTCTTCATCTGCTCAGGCTGCTCAAGATGCTGATGTTGCTGACCAGCTTTCTAAATTGAAAGAAGATCTTGAATATGTTAGGGTGAGCTGCTCTATATGCTTTTTGCCTACTGTATATGTAAAGGGCATTTACTGTAGTTTTGTACTAAGGTAATCAAAGTTCAAGATATAGTCTTTTGTACAGTGTGCGATAAAGCTTAACAAAATGATGACTGTAGTGTATTTAGTATGGATGTGAATCTTCTTTGGGAAGTGTTGTAAACAAATAACATAAGCTCGGGTTTCCTGATTTTTTTTTTTTCAAGGAAGTAAGATAGATCTTTCTACAAGAAACTGTTAAGCTGAAGTTTTTGTTTTATTTTTCATGTTGCCATCTTTCTTTTGGAATTGCAGTTTTTCCCCAAGACCGAGAAGTACGTATCTTTATTTACTGGAGGTGATGATTCAGACATAGTTGATAGGAGAAATAGATTGCGCAAGCAGATTAAAGCCAACTTAGTTGCTGCTGCAGCCAGCGGCAAGGATTTGGAAGGTATCTTCTTTCTTTTACTTAACTCCACAACTTTCTACATAAAAGTTTTATGAACGAAGTTGCTTCCTTTGCTACTGGGCCCAAAGCATGGTATTGCATCCTTGTATAGAATATATTGGTGAGTGGTGGATGAAATCTTGATGCAGAAATATCTACCATTTCATGCATGTGAATCTGCTTTGTGGACTAAGTTTGTTTTGTAGACATTTGTGTTTAAACAAATCATTTTTGTCCTCAAGAAATCAAACAAAAATATGCAATTAGATGTGTATCTATATTAATAAAGAATACAATGTCAGTTGTCATATGAAGAATGGTTTTCTCTATCTTTTCATTCCGTGCACCACAATCCTTTGCGAATGCTTACATAGCCAAAATGAAGAAATAAGGTTTTTGTGTGTACCTTTGCCAACATTGGGAACCCAGCCTTTATACCTGGTAGGTATTACTTAGCTTTAAATGTGTTACCATTTTTTGGACTGTGGGGCAGATCCTAGAAGGACAACTTTGTTTGAAGGAGGTCTAAAGCAGAAAGAGCAGGCACCCACCGAATAATGCTTTCCGCATTATAAAATGCTTTGAGTGATGGATGGACCATTGAAAGAGAACGAAGGAACTTCCGGAGTTAAGGTTCAGACTTAAGGCTAAGGCAGTGAGTAAGCTGAGGAGAAGTTAAGTTGAATCAGCAGCTAGCCTTTTCGGGGCTTTCCTCTCCTTCTTTGAATAAAAAAAGCCAGGAAATCGGCCAGTCTGTTCTTAATAAGGGTAAACCAGTACGGTAGGCAAGGGTCCTCAGTCATAGGTCCCTGCCTGGAGCAGCCAGAGAAAGACCAATATGCGAGGATAAGACAAGAGATAGGTGCTCTTTGGCTTCTTTCTGTTCTCTTTGGCTTCTTTTCTTGGAATGAGTTGGGAGCCTCCTATTAGATTATAGTCAAAATACAACCCAGGCTACCCTCGCACCTACCTTTCTCATGCCACAGAAAGATCACTCCTCATCCGTTCTCTTATATGCGATACCGCCAAAAGAAAGAATTACTCATTCTAGAGATGGACCCTCAACCTCCTTAGGTGCAGTATGCTCTAAACTAAGAACGAAGGGGAGATTGAACAAAGACTGACTTCTTTCTATAAATAATTATATAGAATAGTTTGTTCGAGTGACTCACTTCATAAAGTGGGGACTTTGTGGCAAGCCTGAGGGTCTTACTGGCTTCTTTTCCACAGCTAAAGCTGTCTCGGGTGTTGTTTACCTGCTAATACCTTCTTGTTATGGTAGTTTTGTTATGATATCCTCTTGTTGCTGTGATGATGATGTTTTTTTTGGGATTCCCTTAACAGAGACAGGAAGTGAGGATGATGGAATTTTGGATCTGAGTGAAGATGATTTCTTTTTAACTGGAACCTCGAGTGATGAAGCTGATGCAGATGATGAATGGACAGATAAAAGTACAAGGTATATATCATAACCGTGAGAATTTCAAGGGTTATACTTACAGTTGGGCAGACTATCTTATCTTAATCTGCGACTGGATTTATAATTTTCTTCATGTTTTTATTAGTCACATTTACTACTGGGTCAAGACAGTAAGAATAAATAAATATGCACAGACGTCACATTATACTAGAAGCTCTGTATACCCATTTGGATCTATATTTAGATTGTCACAATATAGTTTTGCATATTCTGTAAATTGGTTATACCTTAAAAGGTGCAAATTAAAATTTTTTCTCAGGGAACCAGCTTCTAGTGCTTCTGGCAAAGCAGCATCTGGAATGTCAAGCGATGAAAGGAATCAGGTCGCTTATTAAAACCAAATATTGCATTATCATATAAAAATAACTATTAGCTATTTTTCCTTTTTTTTATTCTTTCTTTTTTATTTTTTGGAAGAAAAATTTTTCTGACTTCAATTTTTCCCATCGACATAGACAGCTGCCAGAGCTCTAATGCCTCCTCCGCGGCCTTCAAACAATTTTCCTGCAAATTCAGCGCATGCTCAATCAAGGTTTGGAGCTTCATCAAGCAAAAATTCATGGAAACAGAGGGCTGACATTTCTACATCTAGTAATACATCAAGTAGCAGAAGTGGATCCTCCTTTAGGGCAGGGGCCTCTTCAAGTACAAGGACAGGGCACAGTAGTAATCTAAGTTCAAATTCTGATGCTCATAAACCCCGAAGGAAGAGGAGGCCAAAGAAGAAAAAGCAACAGGTATGTCACTCTTGACTGTTATTGTTTCCACTCAGCATTTTCACTTTGTTTCTGTTATAGTGATTGTGTCATTTGCCTGATTAGCATTTGTTGGGCTAACTATCTTAGGAATGACGGTAGCTTTCTCTGAGGATTTATTTCTTAAAAATGGACATGGCGCTTGGTAAGGCATATTGTTTGTGTTTAGTACGCAAGACTGCTGTATTGAGTTGTATGCTTTACGTTTAACCTAAAAGAATGACAATGGTTTAGATGATATAGTTTTCCCTGTTTTTGTTCTTATTTGAGATCCATGGAAGAAATGTCATGGAGTTGTTGGATAATATAAAGAAAGGAGTGAGAGCTCTAAAATTGTCAATTGAGTACCATGCATTGCTATTTATTCTCTCTGATGAGGATAGATATGATTTAACTTGAAGGTGCAACAGTTTTACTCCGAATGGTGTTAAGAAATGAGAGGAAAAACTGAAGATGTGAAAGAGAGTGAGACATTGCTAGTGTTCTTTGTAACTTCTGCATTACAACAGATATCCATTATCTTCAAAATAAGTTCATGAGTTCAGTTTGTCAGGTGTGCAAGTCAGTCTGTGTATGTGGTTTATACCTAATAATAATAATAATCTTAACATGCTTCTATATACTGTTTTATTTAATTATCAATCTTCTGCTGTACATGATTGTTTTTTCCTCCTATATTTGCAGGCCTGAAATGGATGAAGTCAGCATACATGAAACTTCACTACAACCAATTTAAGTAGCTTATCATCAGATATCTATGGTTGTTTTTTTTTTGTAACCATAAAGTATTTTTCGTGTTTTTTTTTTAATCACTAAACGGTCAGGAATCTGTACCTTTTGCTCTTTGAATGTTTGTTTGATCCCATGACTACGAAGGGCTAGGGTTATTTGATAATTCTTTCTGACAGAAACTCACTTTCTGACCTATATGTATCGCCTTACTCATCCTCCCATTTGTGGAATGGATTGGATGACTTGAATGAGATGAAAGATTGGCACACCTTGGTGTTGTCGTGGTAGGGGCAATTGTATCTGAACACAGTGTATAAGGGATTTGAGTGTGGTTTCGTGCGATGAAGATTCGTGCGATGCATGAAAGATGCATCCACGATCGTTTGTTATCTTCTGCAATCACTTTTTCTCCCCCTCCCCCTAAAAACAAATACGTTGATATGTAAAAATGCTATGTTATTCTTTCATTGCGGATTCTTGTGGCTCTCTGATCTTTGGTCAGTAGTGGTTGTCAGTTGTTTTCTTTGATAAAGCTCATAAGCACGAGAAAAATAGGTTTTTTTGTTTGTGCGCTTGTGTGTGTGAGAAGCAGGGCCAAATACTCAAGCAAGCAGCTAGACATTAGGTCATTGGACAAATAATAGCAAATTTCGGATTTTTTTTTCAAATTTATAATTCTTAAATGTTGTGGGAATGGTGAGAATTATTATTATTGTTATTATTAAAATGACGAGGAATTCCCACGTCGTGTAGGTAAAATAAATTCGGGATAAATGTGTATGGTTTTGCATAATTGTCAATTAAAATGAGATAGGAGGTTTTTTTTTTACATTGGAAAAAAATGAGATTTGAACTGTGATTTTCTCAACTTCATACGGTAAATGATGTTAAATGATGTAAGATTAAACTATCAAATCACCCAAATCGAACTAGTAGAGTGGAAAGAAGAAGAATCTAAAAGCTCATGAAAATTAGGCACACATATAAAAGCATTCTACTCATAGATTGATAGAGCTATTGGAAATGGCATTGAAAATCTTGATGTGGACCGACCGCGCGTCTAAATTGATTGACACGTTATACAGGGAAACGACTTGCATCCATGTTTCGAAGCAGCTGGTCATTTTTCCGCCCCGGTTTCGATTTTTATTTATTTTTTTTCGTGTGTTTAATGTTTTGGAGTAGTTAGTAAACTTGGAAGGGAAGTGGTTTCCTAGCGAAACTAGACAGGCCAGCAAAGACAAGCTCAAATTACAGAAAGCAATAACTCTGAACACAAGAGCAGAGCATTATACATGTTGGCGTTAGCAGAAAAATAGAGAGACTGAAATCAGATAAAGAGAAAGAAAGGAATGGAAAAAACTCTGAAACGATGTCTGCAGTTGTTGTTATTGGTCTCAATATTATCTGCCGGCGACAACAACACTATCTTCCTTCATAGAACTCTAGCAGATGGCGTCACTCTCGAGCAAGCCAGACATCTTCGAGACGAGGTACTGCCTCCTTCAATTCTAAATCATCCTTTACTAACTTCCTTCAATTCTATTTAAATTTGCCTTTTTCTTTTTTAAAAATGAATTTGAATTATCACAAACGAAAAACTTATCGCTGGATCTGTCATTGCTGAAGCATTCACCGTTTTGCTTTATCACTTAATTTCTAGTTTTTTAGTTGTTTATCTTTTTCTTTTTTCCTAATATTCGAGAATTACTCTTATTAACGGCGATTATAAATTAGACTCTGCCCATTTATTTATTTTTAATTGCTTTAATGACTTTATTTGCAATCAAACTAATTGAAGCTTTAAGCATTGCTTAACTTAGTAACATCCTCTCTGCATTTTTTCCATGTTAAATTGCTCCACTTCTGTTTGGAAATAGCATCAATCTTCTTGGAAAAAGAAATATAAAAGTAAAAGAGTTGATTTTTCTGAATGTGGGTGATATATTTCTCTTGATGACATAGGTTCGTGAAATGTTCTATCATGCTTTTAATGGATACATGGACCATGCTTTTCCGCTTGATGAATTAAAACCTCTATCATGTGAAGGAGAAGACAGTCTTGGTGGTTATGCTTTGACTCTGGTTGGTTATATCCTTGTTTCTGGTTCTTTTTCTCTAATCTGTTTTATTAAAATTTGGTGTGATATTGCCGTCTTGATGCTTGTCGCAGATTGACTCCTTGGATATGCTGGCCCTACTTGGTGATCAAGAACGGTTCACTTCCTCTGTTGAATGGATCGGTAAAAATCTTCGGTTTGATATAGTGAGTAAGCATTTATTTTGATGCTTTAAGCGCACATGTTTTGATATTTTTGTTAGGAGTTAGGACTTACCTTTTAATAGGCATGACTGCTTTTTTATGTTGAAATTTTATGTCATAGAAAATTATGAGCCAATTCAAATTTCAGAGGTGTCATTATTAAGTTTTAACTCCATTTGCACTTGATTTGCCTTGTTCACATATCTTGTACAGTTCTTTTCTAAAAAAGAATGGAAACCTGAAATCTTCTAATAAATGATTTCCAACAAATAGTTTATTTAGTGGAAGTAAATAAATTTAACCACTCCTTCCATCGCTACATGTTCTACATTGCTTGTAATTGCAATCTTTTTTATTTTTTATTTTGCCTTTATCTAGACCTTTTAATCCATATCATTTTGGTCAATCAATCGAATAACTATGGATTTGAAGTAACTAAACATTTTGGTTTAATTATTAGAAGACATGTTATCTAAACTTTTGGGATTCTGTTATCATGTTTCCAGAATAAAACAGTATCTGTATTTGAGACTACCATCCGTGTCCTTGGAGGTCTACTTTCTGCTCATCTTATTGCAAGTGATTATGCTACGGTAAATCCAATGATCACCTCTATAAATCCTTTCTTTGCAATATCTTTCTAGGTAAAGGATAAGACTGAAACTGAAACCATTCAAAATGAAATTTATCGCTCGTTGCATTTAGCATAGGAAATATCAAAATGCAATTTACTTGTTCGTCCGACAAACCACAATCCATTTATTTTGTTATACTTATATGTGTATCAGTGTCTTGCTCACATCACACACATATGTGCATGTGCATGCTGCACATAGGTTGTAGCTTAAAGACGGGATGTTCTTTGGTGCTAATTTATCTTATACTTTGATACTCAATGTGCTTGATTGCACCTCAATAATGACTAAATGCTAAGGTTCCCTTTCAATAATCTATCTGGAGACGATGCCGCTTTCCATCATTTGGTTGCAGGGTATGAGAATTCCATCCTATGACAACCAATTGCTTCACTTAGCTGAGGATCTGGGTCGGAGAGTGTTACCTGCATTTGAGACTCCAACAGGTATGACTGCTAGATACTGACATTTGCTATATTTCTTGCGGTTTTTGGCATTTAATCCTCGAAAGTTAGGTAAAATCTGTGGCATGGACACAGAATTTGCACTCTATTTGTAGTTCTATGAGTAGTCATGACTCATGAGTTTATGTTTCTGGGAATTGATAATTAGTTAATATTTGTGGTTTTCTTAAAGCTTGTATCATATTTTCTGACAGTTTTTTTATGAATAGAAGGACCTCTTAGTTACTGTCTTGAAGCTTAGCTTTAGGGGAAGTATTTTGTAGTTTGCTATAAGCTGTCTTACCATCTACCTCCAAATTTTAAATTTCTGAAAGCAATAGCATGCTTCTAATATTGGCCTTACAAGTTCATAAATGCTGGAATATTATATTATTTTGATCTTAAGCTATGATGTATTGCAGGAATTCCATTTGGGTCTGTTAATCTGTTATATGGGGTTGATGAACATGAAATCAGGGTAAATTCGCCCTCCTTTTTTATCCTTTTAAGCAAATTTCTCGAGATACTTGCTAGTGCTTTTCTCACCTTGTAGCATCCCTCTTTTCCACACAGTTATCAAAAATATGTTATGCAGATACATGCTATTCATCATAGAATTGATGCCATGAATTTAATATCCTGAAATGACTGAGTAGCTTGAAAAATTCAAATTTTGGTGTACTTAGATAACATCAACTGCTGGTGGTGGAACTTTGACATTGGAATTTGGGATGCTTAGTCGTTTGACCAACGATCCTAGTAAGTATTCATAGTATGATGCACTTTTCAGGCTAGCCATTGAATTATTGTTCTCCATCTAGCAACTGAGGTTTCTGATTTTCTCCTACGGAAATGAGATGTCATAATTCAGTTGAGATAAATTCTGGGTTTTTCAACCTTTAATACAAAATCTATGGGTAAAAGTTTTGCAAATTGCATGAAGTCACACAAGTTAGGTTGTGCTTGCATTATTTCATCATGGTTCAGTAGTTTTTGGCTTACTGCTAGCTTTCATAGTTTGCAAATCTCAAAATTCTCAGCTTGTCAGATGTGCCATTTGTTAGATGGATTCCATAGTTTATATACCATATGTTGAATAGTAACTTCTGAGCCATCAAGCAATGGACCTCTTCAGTTTGCTGTCCATAGTCAATGGTGAGATTTTCAAGTTCTGCCAGGGATTTTTCCATGAGGATCGGCATGGGCAGTACCTGTGTCTGGTCTTTGTGACAGCATTACTGAAGAAATTTAATTGGGTTAAATTAAGGCAATCCTAATGTATTTAGGTGATTGCCTTAACATTATTATGAATAAGTTTTTCTCTAGTCATACTCTAAACAGCAACAACTGCATATGCATGTTTAGTCTATGCATATGAATACGCTAGGACACAGTGGTTTTTGCCTTTTAGAAAGTTGAAAGGAGAGTGATCATGCTTATTTCTTGCTCTTTCCTGAGGCTTCAAATAGAAAAACAGAAAAAAAAAAAAAAATTAACATCCTCCTCAAGGACAACCAATTTTTCACCTGCATTTAAATAAGCATAGCCTGCATAAGAGACTTGAGAGAAGTAAGAGGAAGTCCATTGACGCCCTAGTTGTTGCACACATCTCGATCTGACTTGAAATCGTTTTCGGTTGTTTTTATTTAGTTAATTATCTAGCAACTTCTGTATATTGACCAGGACTTTGCCTCAATTAATTGATACTGCATGAACTTTCTTGAAATTCATTCATACTTCAAACATAACAGGCTAATAGTCCCTTCCACCTCTACCGAAAAAGAAAAAAAGGAGTAATCTTCACCTTCTGCTAAATTGTTGCATGCTGTGGAGCTTCTGTATCTAGCAACTATAGATATTGTGCATTCATCCATCAAGTGAGCATTTATGATGCCTTTCTGGATGCCCATTTTTTGTTTTGTTTAAAAGACTAACTTTCTAATGTCAAATTAGACTTTATCAGATTGTCATCCTAAAATTGGCTTTTCTATATCTTCGTATATCTCTTATTAGTTTCTTTTCTTATATTGACTAATTTCTTTTGTTATCATTCTTTTCCTTGTCAATTTCTGCTGGGAACCACAAAGGTTGATTGTGATGCCCACTTATTGACATAGATTATTATTCTTATCTCATCTTCATGGAAATGCAGTTTTTGAGCAAGTAACAAAGAATGCTGTGCGTGGATTATGGGCTCGCCGTTCAAAACTTAACTTGCTTGGTGCTCATATCAATGTATTTACAGGTGAATGGACACAAAAGGTAACATTTTCTGAAGCATTTAAAGTGTGTAAAGGGCCTCGAGTTTTTAAAATTGCTTGGGTCTGACTGCAACATGGCAATCTCCTATAATTTTCTTTTAAGTTGAATAATGAGGAATTATTAAATTGTCGGAGCAAATTACAGATTGCTACATGGTTTATTTGACTAGTCCTCCCCTTAAGAAAGTGGATGAAAAAAGACCCAAGAGTTTTCAAAACACATCGGTAATAACCTTGCCCATCGATTTAATCTAGTATCTTGCAAGTACAAGAATGAGCACATATTAGCAACTTTTACCTCAGCTTTAGCATTTATTTAATTTATTGCCTCCACCCACCTCCCTTCCCTCCACAAAGAAAAATGCAGCATATTGATATCTATTATGAGGATTGGATGGAATTTCAGTTTTTAGTGGATGATATGATGTGCCTTGAGAATAAGAATTTTGGTTCATTGATATTGTATTGCTTGACATTTGGCTTGAAATGGTACATGTCTGATGATATTTGACAACTTTATCTTGAGTTTCTCAGAGATGATGGTTGAGAGCAGTTTAAGGTGCTCTTTACCATGTCTGAATGACTTTGTTATGCATATTCTGAATTTCTTGGAATTAAGTACTAGTTACTTTTGGTTCAGGATGCATGTACATTAATCTTCTGTAGAATTAAAGTCTTTTTTCTTAAATTCCTGGGAAGCAAGTAATTTTTGCTTTTGCACTGTTTGCGACTTTAAAATTTAGAATGACATTCACTTGAGAATTTATGTCAAGCGTCTTGTTGTATATTTCCCCACGGTTGAGTTTTCTTAACGTTTGGGCAGCTCAATTCGTTTTCTTCCAAGGGACTGTAATCAAGCTCCTTTGCTGCTTTGCAGGATGCTGGAATAGGAACAAGTATTGACTCTTTCTATGAGTATCTCTTGAAGGTATGCGATCATACAGTGATTGCATCTAAAGATTCTTGGATTATCATAGTCACCAAAATTTTCTTCCAGTTTTTATGATTTGTGCTCTTTATATCAAGAGAAGAGGGCAAAAAATAAAAAAATAAAAAAAATAAAAAATCCACTCAACTAAGCACTTCAGAAACGCTTGTCTTTGCAGAACCAGCATTCCATTATTATTTTTTTTTAATTTTCTGTTCACAGATAATGTTAGAGATTTCTTTACTGTAACAGACAAATCAGAATCTCTTGATACAAAGATTATTTGGTTGTTTTGCAAGAATCTTTGAGCTGAAAATTTTCATCTTTTCAGGCTTATTTGTTATTTGGAGATGAGGAGTATTTGTTCATTTTCCAAGAAGCCTATGCAGCTGTTATGCATTATCTTTACAATGATCCTTGGTAAAATCTTGTGGCTCGTATGTCCTATATAATTATATCTTTTCACAAAAGTTTATATTAGGTTTCTTTTGTTCTTTTTTTAAGGGGAAATACTCTACCCATTGGATCTTAACTCTAGATGTCTTTACAGGTATGTTGAGGTAAACATGGATTCTGCTGCTATTGTCTGGCCATTGTTTAACAGTTTGCAGGCCTTCTGGCCAGGCCTACAGGTTTTTCCTTCTTCTTTATTTTAGATTTTGAACTATAAGTTTTATGACTGATGTTTGTTAAATCTATATTGGACATGCTAAACTTTATTATATTTGTTTTTGTAAGGTTTTAGCCGGAGACATTGATCCTGCAATTCGAACTCATGCTGCATTCTTCAGTGTCTGGAAAAGATATGGTTTTACTCCAGAGGGCTTCAATCTTGCTACTCTGACTGTTCAGGTATCCAAATCATTATTATTGGAACCCACCATAACACCTTTTGCTTTTTCCCGCCTTCCTGCACCGTTTTTATGACATCTTGTGTGCTGCATTGCATCTCATATATCTTTTTTCCCTACATTTGTTTTATAGCATGGGCAGAAGAGTTATCCACTGCGCCCAGAGTTGATAGAGAGCACATATTGGCTATACAAGGCTACCCGAGATCCTAGGTCAGATCAAATCTCCTTCAACTTGATACTTCCTATTTTATTGTTTTTTGTTTTTCCAATATTGAGGATTTCTACATTTGGTTTATTCAATTCATCTACCGAGAAGAACCAGTGGATCTGGAACGATCGCATACTGACATGCTGGGACTATGAAATTGTAATAGACGCATCAACATAGGCAATAGATCTCATGAGAAAATAGGATTATATGTTAAGAGTTCCCCCAGCGTCATTTTTCCTTGTTTCAAATACCATGAATTCATATGCATTGCTGGTTTACTATCTATTAGCTCCATTTACTTAAACTTCACATTTAGGATAAAAAAATAATAAAAGGTTAACCAGCTTTAATTACAACAGGATGACTCGGGGTAGACTGGAATTTCCTAGTTGGAAAATATTACCTGGAAAGCAGTTGAAATATTGTGAATGTGAAATGCTATAGACAAATTGTTATATTGTTTCCAGATTGCATGGGCTTTTTTTCTGGTTACTAACTTATTTGTTTCAAACCCTCTTCTCCACCTAATGGGGAAAGCTTCTCTTACCATCATGAAATTGCAATTGAAGCCTTCTCTCAAATTGACCTCTGCAGATATCTCGATGTTGGAAGGGACATGGTTGTGAGCTTGCAATATGGGGCTCGATGCCCCTGTGGCTATTGTCATATAGTAGATGTAGAATTTCACAAGAAAGAGGACCACATGGAGAGCTTTTTCCTAGCTGAAACTGTAAGTATCACTTTCGGATTACTTCAGTTAACTATTTTGTTTTCCTTTTTGCTTGGTATTATAGAGGAATATTTTCATCTTTGTGAATGGTAATTCAGTTTGAAGACTGTATGTTCATCATGGTTGGGAGTTTTCTCTAACATGATAGCCTTGATAGATGGTCTTGTCATCCAGTAAAAGAAGATTGTGAAAATGAATGTAAAGATCATTAATGATGAGACTAAAACTTTACTTTTTAAATTATTGTAACAAAAGAATTGCATGAACATGTTGATAGAATTCTTTTAATATGTTATTTGGTTTCCATATTATGTTTTTTTCTTTTGCTCGAGAGCAGTGTGCTATCATGTGTTAATTATATGCTAAAAGAAGATCAATTAGATACTAGGATCAGCGTTGGAATGCAGACAGGTTAAATGGGATATGTTCTATTCAAACCAGGTAGCTAAACTTTTTTGCCTTGGCCAAACTGAACTACTCTCATTCTGGCCAAGCCGTACCAAATCTTGGGGTTGACTGTCTACTTTTTATGGGATTTACATTTTGACCATAGCTTATTGTCCCTATGGAATGAATTAGGCACAATATTCCTTACTTCCCTTTTTGCGATAAAAGAAGAATATATTTATTAAAAGAGATACAAAATAATGTTACTAAAAGCAGGACAAGTTATTTTCCTGGAAGTAGTGAAGAAGGTTTTTTTTTTTTTTTTTTTTTAATTATTATTTTATATATAAGATGGATTGGTGCTCATATTCTATGACTGTAAATGAGTGTGCAAGTAATGCGGAAGGTTGAGATTAGTGACTTTGCCTTTTCATTTGATGTGCTTCATGAGTTTTAATCCATCTGTGCCTTGATTGTGCCATCGCATTTGATTAGTTGCTTGCTAAACTGTTGTTAGGTTAAGTATCTGTGGCTTCTTTTTGATCTGGCTTCGGGCCCAGATAACCTTGTAGAAAACGGGCCATACAAGTAAGGTTTTGTGCTTTTAATTGTTCTTGAAAGGTAACCTTAATTCTCTACTGTTTCTTATTTCCACTCATATGTTGGGGATATGTATCCATTTACAGGTATGTCTTCAGCACAGAAGGTCACTTACTGCCTGCAACCCCACAAATATCTCTCATACGGGAACATTGTTCATATTTTGGTGCTTACTGTAAAAGTGGTGACATTGAACAGGAATCTCATAAGTCAGACATCTCAATTAATCCTCAAGAAACTAATGCCAGTGCGTTTTCTGGGAGCTGGATTCATTCCAGCTATCCATCAGATTCCTCTTTTCTTGAGTCTACTACTACATCAGGGTTGATGAAGGTTAGTTTACCTTTTGTTTTGTCTGAATCTTTCACACCCCTCGTTTTATTATACTATTAAGCAGTAAATTCTGTATGATACCTTGTTAAAGACGCAGCAGTAATTGATTTTCCATCTTCTTGAGAAGAGGAAGACTGCTGCTTTATTAATTTTGCTGCAAGTTAAGTGTTGGTATCCCTGGATACCATTTTGAATTGGTGAATATCCAACAATGAAGTTATGAAGTAAATGAATAAAAAACAAGGAGTCTCTAACTTCATGTTATTTGCTGTTTGCAATGGGCTTAATAATCTTGACATGGAATATGAGCGGTTCTCCGTTGCAGGGAGTTTGCCCAGGATTAACACATGCACAAAAGTATGGAATATCATACCTAGATGCAACTGATACAGCTTGGGAGGATCACTCCACATCCCAAAGAGAGAATGAGGCTGAGAGCCATCGTCTGCTGGTTGTTTCCCACCGAAGTGCCGATAATTCTGTGTCTAACGACAAGAACAGTGATCATGGTAACACTGTACAGGAATCAAGTGAATAGGAATCTCTGCTTGATGTCTTTAGTTTCTCCATAACTGAAGCATTCTGCTCGGGCAACCAAAGATTGATGAGGCATCAGCTGCTCACATCCTGGTAGCTTAACTGGGAAAAGATCAGGAATCATAAACAGAAAAGCAAGCAATTTTTGAGATTTTAGCTGACTTTGGCCGCTATGCAAACCCTGAACTAATTGATATCTTTTGCTCCAGACTACCAGTGTTTCTGATGATTGTTTTGGGCAATTCAGCAATTGTTGATAGAGCAGGTTTGTAGCTCAGGATAGAAATATTAGCACGAAAAACAATCATGATTATATTTATTTTACCTGGTCTCCATGTTGCCCTGATAAGGAGACAGGAATACGAGATCTCAGCTGCGTTGTAGACATTTGTGACTTACCATGACTTACAAGACCTTCTGTACATTATACTTATAGTGAGGCCTAAAAAATTGATTGTATTGGTGATCTGAGATTGGTAATGAGATCCTTGGCGAAAGTCCAAAAGTTGCTACGAGATGGCAGCCATTTACCTTTTTGATGAAAAAAAAAAAAAAAAAAGAGTAATAGGCATAGGTAATTGTCTGTTGCCAAGCGCTATAGTTCTTGAGGCTTCAATATAGTTTGACAGATGTTTAGTTTTAAGCATTCTTTGATTGAATTCAGTTCTGATTTACAAGTTATTCCCTATGTTTTGATGGAAAATGGTATACTTTTATCATATTTGCACTGTCATGTGTCCACTGGATCACGCAATGCTGTGACTGGAGTTGGACCAGGCAATGAGAGACTAAATGCTGACTGTGACTGTCGTGAACTATTTTTCTTTCAGCTGGTGCTTGCTTTATATTTTCCTTGCTGCTCTGTTGCTTAAACTTCTTTCTTGCCTCCTTTATCTCAGGATTTACCTATTCTTCAAATCCATGTTGGGACGAAGCAATAACTTGTTCTCTCTCCAATACTTTTGCCGTTTGCTTTCTGTTATTTTTATTGAACCTTGAATTTTCGAAATCTTGTGCATACAAACACCTATCGTGCCCTAAACCTTGCCACACACTTGGTCGTGTGCGCGCTTCAGTGTTATCACTGACCCGGATCATGAACCAGTGAGGGTTCCAGTTCATTGTATCCGTCTACCCATGGCTCATCAGTTCAACCGTTGGGTGACATACTTCTTATACTTTATTTTTATTTTTTAAATATAACTTCTCTATTTTAGCGAAAAAAAATTATAAAATTATGAAGGAAAAAAATAAAAAACAGTTTACGGATCCAGCTGATCATCTCGTCAACTGATTTTTTTTTTCCTGTTTAATGCATATTAAAAAAAAAAAAAACAACAACAACAACAACAACTTAGGTCTTGATTCACCATTTGTCTAATAGTTTAGATGATATTGATGTATTTTGCTTCATGGGTATGAAATTTATTGATTTGTTGATATAATTTTAAATAGTAGACAGTTGAAAAGTTGTTCAACTAAAAAAGATTGTTTTAACTTTCACTCTATGGAAGTTGATCATGCTTTTAAAATAATTATATTGGCAAATATTTACTACCTACAAGAGTTAATCTCGGACTAAACACATCTCTTTGTAAGCTAACTTAACTATTAGATAATCCTCCAACCACTAGAATTTGTTTTATAGATACTCTATTGAATCAATATTCATCAAGCTACGACATCACACAATCAACTTAAGTTGGAAGTCACTTTAAACAATCATAATTTGAGGATCATAGCCTAGTTATAAACCATTTTTTTTTCTTAAAGTATGCTAACATTTGTTACGAACATTAAAAAAAAAAAAAAAAACTCCTTTAGAGATGCTACCATCCTTCTCCGGTGAGGTACGTAAGAGCATACCAAAATTGGTGTTTTGCTCGTGTTTTGAGCTTTCATCGGTTTCCCTCTACCGTAAACAAGGAAGAAAAGTTAATGTTTCAAAACTAGAACAATAGGGTGCTTGTTTGGTAATCGGGAATAAAATAATAGGAATGAAAATACAAGAATCGGAATGAAAAACGGGGAATGAGAATGGGAATGGGAATGGGAATGGGAATCAAAATACTGTGTTTTGTATCTTACTATTAGGAATCATAATGAAACACTTAAATAACTATTACCGTGTTTGGTATAGACAAATAGGAATCGAAATGATATCATATATTTACCATTGTATACTTGAATAAGCATAATAAATTTTATCATAAAAGCAATTACAATTTAGAAAAAAGATTATATGAATATTTTTTATTATTCTTTTAAAATAACCTATTGTTTTATCCATATTTTTCTTTCTTTTTTTTTTCTCCAAGTTCAAATTTTCAACAACAAACCTCGTTCCAATATTAAATTTCTTGTGTCGGTCCCGGATTTTCATAATGTTTAGCCATGGTGTCATATGGGAGAGGTTAGATATCATTTATCAAATCAAGCATGCATGGAACAATCGGCGTGCTCGAGTGGCATTTGAACCCGTAAACAAACGAGGCCTCACTCTATTCTCCAGCTCCACTTAAAAAAATTCAAATTCAACGGGAATATAATTGAGCTTGTTAATGTCATACCTTATCAAAGGAAAGTGATTCCTTGGAATGGGAAACCATTTGATTGTGATCATCAAGTATTGATCGTGGGCCAAACATGAATGCATCATGAGGAGTAAATGGTTCTAACAATTGCCAATCCAACATCATCTCTTAGATAATTATGAAGATGAATCGATAATTAACTTTTCAAGATTCTGATCCCACGATTGATGAATCTTCAATTGTTTTGGTCTTCTTGTGTAAAATGCAAACGATATACCCTAGTCCTACGCAGGGAAAAAGATGTTAATCAATTCAAAAGACAAATTTATGATAACAAAATGAAAATACTACTTTACTAGGTATTAAAAAAAATGTAAAGAAATGCTTTTGACTAACAAAGATCCGACTTATATGCATTGAAACAAGCAAATTATCTCGCATTTTATCTAACTCGTTGGCAAATGGTGGACAAACAAGGGAAGAGTAAATAGTTATCGAGCTGGGAAATAAGTAATGATATGAGCTGATCAAACAAAGGCTAAAGAAAAATTACCGATATAGTAATAGTAATAAATACAACAAAGCTTTACAAGGGAGATTTTACTCCTACTAGAATTTGTTTGACTCTCTACTATGGTAATTTGTGGTGAAGATGGAAGCATTCTACTCTTTCTCTTATTTTACAAACACTAAAAAAAAGTAACTTACCTAAAATTTAATCCTACAACCAAAATGCATGATACATTTCATTCTTTACGTAAATTTCAGCTTCGAGTGGAGTTGATCGACCATTTCCTACCGCATAATAAAACGAGTATTCGTTTTTCCTCGCATAACCAAAGTTGTCGGTCATGCATGCTCGGACCCATCATCATGCAACTGTGCTCGTTCTTACATTAGGGTCGTCCTCGCTATGAGAAAGTAAACTCGTTTAAGAATATTTTTCAAGTGAAAATGGCATACGTTTCCTAGCAAATAAAATGTCAATACTAGCAACCGACCTTGATGCCACAAGCAAATCTAGTTGGTTTGCGAAAGAAATCCATCTCGTCCCTCGTAAGTGGTAGAACAACATGTTGTTCCCATTTACTTCTAAAGAAGCATGCTATATAAAGAAATATGCTCTACTCTGTCAAATCTAATTCATCATAAATTGTTCGAAACTTTGCTCAATTTTCTTGTCTAAAGTTCCTTCTAGCTTTGCTAGCACACTTTCCCATTCTTTGATGCCCATGCCATATAGTTGACAACCTAACACTCGGAGAATTAATGGAATGCCTTTAGCATAGTTCAACACCTATTTTGATAGTCGTGTATACTCTTCTATGGGAGCATGTTGTCCAAAAACATGTAACTTGAAGAGTTTAATAGCATCACGTTCATCTAAATCAAAGTATAAAAAAAGTTTACGAAAATTTGGTGCAAGCATTAAGGAAAAATGGTCACCAAGTTTTATGAACCCGAAACCATGTTATGCCTTCGATACGGACTCCCAAAGCTTACGAGCACATAGTGGTACCGGTGTGCATTACGGTATATCTCTTACGAGCCAAAGATAAATGACGAGTCACGATAGTTTATTAAACATTCAAACATACTCGAAAGTTTCATACAAAATTGATAAGAAGAAAACCCTTTTATAAAAATATGCAATAAAGAAATTACAACCACTAATATCAATCCAAAATATGTTATAAATGCAACTTAAGCCACTTCAAATAATTTTCCGGACAAAATATGAGTAGATTACACCATAAAAAAAATCCTAAAGAAGCATAAAATTGTAAATTCAATTACTATTAATTATAGTAGCAACTCTACTACAATTAATTAGTAAACCCAATCTCGATACGTGCAAACATGACTTTGTAATTATCTCGGGATACTAAAAAACACTTCAACCTTCTTATCATCTTGACCAATAATGCTTGTCGCTTTAACTAATTCAGTCGGAGAAAGTCCCTCAAGGTTCGTTAAAGTTTCAAACACTTTGCTCCTTTTTTCACTCATAGCAAATGTCAATTCCTTCTCGGCTTGAACTAAAATTTTGATGGACTTTGATAGCTCCATAAACTCTGCATGTAAAGGTCAATTGCTCTAAAGTTTCTCTTATACTTTGATTTTCCGACTTCAGATGAATGGCTTGCTTCTTGACTTATAAAAGCTGCATGTGTTGAGTTTGAATGCATCTCATTCGTATCTTCATCATCCACATCGTTGTTAGTTTCATCATTTATTGTAATTTCTTCTTCTTCAGGACCTCGAGCTTTGTCTCCATTAGCCCTATCTTGTGCATATATTTCACACAATTTATAAAAATGGACAAACGACTTCATATACAATGCCGATGCTCCATCATGACTCTACATGGTAATATTGTATTAATAAATTAAACAAAAAAAATTTAATATTTAATAATAACTTGAAAGAAAGAGGAAAAACAAGATCAACTTTACCTTTGCCCATC